CCACAAACTGGAACTTTGAGGTCTAATTGCTCTCCACCTCGAGACAGTAGTCATGTCAGATTTACAAGCGATGCATTCGATAAACATTGCAGAACCGCCCGGTCGAGGTGGACCACTTCTGTCGTCCTATTGTTAAAAACTGGGTATTTAAAGCGTCCGTGGCCTATACTTCAACGCTACCATCCATGCTAAAAATAGTTTCTTAAATATGTGTAATTTTATTTGACTATCTGCCTGAAGCACTAACCGGTCTCGCCTCGTATATGTTCACCCACTGCTTCACCAACAACGACTGCTCCAAAATGTAGGAATAATCGTGATGGCACTGCGCCAGACCATACTGGGGTAATTTCAGTGGGTTGGATGCTGCCACATCCCCATAATGCGGCCCCCTTAGTCGATTCAGGTAGCCTGGTGAATCAGGCCAGGTCCCAACCGTCTTTGCATCCATTGTGATCATGGTCAGTATCAATGTATGGCGCCGCTATCCCCCCCCTTCGCGATAGGTAGCTCTGCCTGTTTAGGAGGGACCCAGAATCTGTTATTTTTTCATTTCGGGTTCTGCAGATGGAACACTTTTATTAGCTTGCTAAGTCGTAGAATAGTAGCCTTCGACGGCCAGCAGTGCCTAGCAACGTACAAGAATTTGTATGCAGCAATGGCACAAACAAGGTGAAATTTCTGTTCGACTAAGTGAGTCTTTGACGGGCCAAAGCTAAACGTGACCATACTGCGTGGATAAATGTTTCCCAGATGACAAATGAGAAGTCGCCTTACCCAACTTGCAAACCAGATATCGACAATGGTTAGTGGGGCTCAGTAACGTAAGACCGAGTATGCGATCCAATGCCAGTTTTTTCTGGCTCCCAAGCTAAATAACGAATGACTTGGTCTTGATAATATCCGACCCTCATTTATTTTAAATGCTTTAAATATTTTAAATACTTTATGAATACCGCGGTAGTGGTGAGGTAAACGACTGTGTCATCGGCGTAAACAGATACAGCAATAGTTTCTGGTTATTTAGTTACGGTGATTCGTACTCCATGAAAATGCAAACGCATGATTAAGCCTCGTACGCGCTGTCCAGGGAAGAACTGAAAAGCAATTGTGCCATTGGGCAGCCTTGTCGGATCCATTAATTTATCCCAACCCTCCGAGATAGAGATGTATTGACAATGAACCTGCATGTAGTATTCGCGTAAATTGCGGAGACGATTGTGACAAATTTTGGTGAAAACCCCAACCGTATGAGCACCGCTAGTGATAAGTGTCACTGCAAGGTGTCGTACGCCCTATCAAAATCCAACAGGAGGACGATGCCATGTTTCGTGGCTTCGTTATCAGTCTTTGCTGCGATATTTGCCGCTGCAAAGGTGTCGAGCGCAGTTGCTATATTGCAAACTGGTACAAAGACAGCTTGTGTAGTGTCGACCACTAATGGCAGCAACGCTTGTAGCCCGATAGATTGAACTTTGGTAAATATTTTGTTGTCGCTGTTGAGTAGAGCGATTGGCCGATGGTCAAGCGGTCAATAAGGAGTTGATACTTTTTTAAGGAACTGACTATTGGCCTTGCCAAAGAAGCAATGCGTCACTCCACACTCAAGCCATCTGGTGTCTATTTTCACCAGGATGGGTGCCAGATCTCCAGAAAAATTCTTGTAAAGACGATTGCCGAGTTCGTCTACTCCAAAAGCTTTCCATGTTTTCACTTCTTTATAGCTGCCAAAACATATAAAGAATCAATTGCAGATACCACATTCGCTTCACCAAAAAATTCTCAATACACTTTGTATCATGGAAGCGTCAATACAATTTTTATTATCTACCAACCCCTATGTCATTCGCCAGGTCTATTGACCGATCGGTGTCGTAGGGGGCAGCTCGGCCTAGTGTGGTACTAGTGTTGTCCCTAACCTTTATAGACACTCGCGCAAAAAACTGGCAAGTAGTAACTACAGGGCTGTACGTGTGTTGTCGAAGTAGTTGTTTCCCCTTCCGCCGTTGCTAGTTTCAGCGGCATTCGGCCATATTGTGGCGAGCAATGATAACAGTCTTGCTGTTAGTACTGTTACCGACCTTGGCCGAGTGAAGATCTACTTGAAGACGTAGCAATCGATAAGGCAGATTGTTTTCATCTTCTGTCGTATTGTGCGAGATTCCTAAAGTGATGCTCTGCGAGGAACCGCTTTTCACTCGTCCCACTGCCGCGTAAGATTGTTCGCCGTAGACACATCATTCAGAGGGAAAATGAGGACTGCCTCAAGGGTCCGTGAAGCTAAAGTTGTAGCCTATGTAATGGCGGCCTTAGCTTTAGCGCGCATCACAACCGCAACAGGATATACACGGTGTGGTTTTTACTTTGTTAAGCTACTGTTTTTGGCGCAGTGAGATATCAGGTAATTCCATTTTGATCCGAGTTCGGCTCGGGAACTTCTACGCTGATATCTCGGTCCGGTAGGACACTTTGACGCGAACAGACCAGCGATATAACCGAGAGCTTGCATGCGCTTCTCCCGGCAATGTAAATGTGCATGCGTACGTTTTTCTTTAATTAAGGAGTCAATGCGCTCTGCAACTGCAATCTCTAAGTCATCCTCAAGCTCATCCGCAATCTCCCTGGAAACCAGTACACGGCGTAACTCAGTTGAATAATGATATTACGCGTCGGTAAGCGCCATTGAGAACGACTGAAGTAACCGTTCTCGGTGCTACCGATCGTTTGTCTCATGCACATTCAGCATTATAACCTCCTCAGTATGTATCCCGACAGTCGCCTCCGTTTAATGCGATGTCCATGCCTCTTCCATCGATGTAGCTATCTTCTAGATTGTTGAGTATGGATTGAGCAGTATTGCAAAAAAACGACGCTTGACAAGATCCGACTATAACTCCATACCCCGATTTACGTCAGGATTAAAAAAACCTATAGAACTCAATATGGTGAATCAAGTCCATTTTCATCTCCGTCTAAAACGTGCGTCTCTTGAAGCAGCACAACATCCGGGATCCCCTATCGTCGTGATGGCGGAAGTTGTATAACCGTTCTGCGCAGAGCACTGGATCTTTGGGCAGGTCTTGTACGTTCAAAAGTGAGAACAATGGAGTTTCCAGGGGATTCCAGTCTAATTAACAGATTGTATTCATTCAGGTAATTAAAAAGAATCCTTCCGCTTTTGGATGGTGCGCCAATTAGACTCGCTTATGCGCTAGTTTCATTACGGACGCAGTAGTAGAGACATTAAGGATTCCCAGAAGAGCGGTAGGGGGTAGGCCGGATCTCATCCTCGATAAGGTTAATAGCCGCACTCCAGTCTGCCTGTGTAGATACAATACCGAAGACGGCTGTGCATACATTAGCAGAAGAGTGGTATATGACGATTTTATCTATCTGAGGCATCTCTATCGCAAACTTATCGTCCGCTGGGGTCAGGGTAGGTAGCATCGAGCAGAGAGCATCTAAAACGCCCCATCCATTGACAGAGATAGGGTACACGACAATCGTGCACAGCATCTGTGGGCACAGTTTATGAAATTGTTTCTATCGTTGCATTGATTCCGTAGCCTTCTACCTGACGGCTCCTAGCTGATGCGACTCCACAGCATCCCTTAAACTGCAAAACATTTCGATCCTCGAGTCGGCATGAGTAGCAAAAATGCAGGCAAACGACCTCAAGTTGTGTCTCGATGTTAAAGACATTCCCAAATGTGTTAAAGAGGTTGGCGTCATGCATTTTATAGATTTGGATTGGAAAAGGTAGCGCAATAACAATTCTTTAAAATCCGTAAGACTGTGCCGTATCCATTCATTTTAATAAGAATCAGTATCAGGCAACGCGTGAGGTATATTGACCACCAAAAAGCGGTCCTTGATCCCTTTCTTGATCATCAGTAAATTCGCTTCTTCGCAGCGAGGACTCTCAGTCAGTGCAGCCGAAGCTATTATTGGTGATGCATTCACCAAGGACTTGCGGGTCCTGGACGCCGTGAGGATTAGTGCATAATTGTTAGTAGCTCTCGCGGCATTTTGATGACCGCAAATATCGTTACCTCAAAAAAAGGCGAAGTCTCAGTGGGATCCGGCCGTGAAGCACGTTGTGTAGGAGAAGTTGTGGGTCCTCTAAGTTAAAATTTACTGCGAGTGCCGCAATAAGCGGGACCTTTTCCTAAAAATAACTCAGGTGCTATTGTGTCCGTGCTTATACCAGCTCTGTTGAATACGTTTTCGTCGAGCTTGTATAGTCGCATTGTGTTCTGAGGTATATGTACCGACTCCATATTTATACCACATCGGCCGCGGGGTTGCGTAAAACATGTTCGCACATTTCACTGCACCATCCAAAGACGTGCGATTACCAGTTGTCGGGTCCTCTATGACGGTGCCGACTCCGGTGCCGTGGCGGTCCATCGCGTCCGCTTCGTGAGCATTAAGTGTTGCTGTCGATGGTACAGGTGCCCTATGCCGACGGCGTTTTCGCATACAAGTCAACACAGAGCCAAGAATAGCCTGTCTGCTATGCTGGTGCAGAAGATCCTCATTTTCTTCAGGCGTATATCGGTCAGTCATCGGGTGCTCATCGGTGCAGAGAAATTCCTTGCTTTTTAATCTGAGGGCGGCATACGGGTAATTTTCTTCACCAGTCCACAGTGTTCGGTTTCTGCTCGCGTAACGGCCTGTTATAGTAGCACCGCTCTTGCACGGTTTATCAAAGGGTGTTTCACGGTGTTGGTTACGGAAGGAGGTTATGGATCGCGGTTACGTGATGAGATCACAGGATGTCGTTACATTAAGGCTTAGATTTAGCTAAGGTTAGTGAACTAAGGACCTTGTATATATTTACTTCGGAATTCACATTCAACACCACAACCTTCATCTCAACAAATTAGCAGCCGCAAGAGTGATGACGTTACTAATATTGCCAGACAAGCTCAAGTCATGACCATCAAGAGCTCCGAAGTCCTCCTGGGAAGTGGTAACTTCTACCACTGGGAGTAAACATGCGGATGACACTAGCCCGAAAGGGGCTACTAGCGCATCTTGAGGTCGTGAAGCCCGAGCTCGAGATCACCGGGGCGTGGCTTATTAACTATGCAAAGGCTCTTGGGATCATCGCTCAAGGTGTGGAACTGCAGCACCAGACCAAGATAAGGTCTGCGACACGTGCTATCCATACGTGGCCTACACTACCAGACTTCCACAATCGCTCTACGCTCCAGAACCGTGTGAACATGACGCGCCGTCTGCACCAGTTCAAGATGGAGAGCGTTTCGACTATGACCAAGCATCTGAATGATTTCGACGAGCTTATCGTCGGATTGCAGACACTGGGAGAGCCCGTCAATGAAGCTCGACAGCTGGTAGTGCTATTAAGCAGCCTTCCTTCTGAGTAACTATTAATTTCAGCAATCGTGGAGAAATCCAAGGATGTGTCTCTGATCGAGGTGAAAGAAAAGCTGCTCAAGGAATACGAGCGACTAGAAAAGAAGGACACCACCATGGAGAAAGCGCTTCGAGCTAACGGGAATACTGGAAGGTTCAAAGAGGGCCGAGGACACGGTCGAAAGGGGATCTCTTCAAGAAAGAATGGTGGTGGATACAAGGGCAAGTGCTTTGGGTGTGGCCAAGTTGGTCATATGAAGCGGGACTGTCCTGTGCAGAAAAGCGACAGTGGGAATGATGCTGTTTTAGCTGTGAGCGAGAAACGACTCGACGGTTGGCTGATTGACAGTGAAGCTACATCGCATATGACTCCGCATCGTTCCGACCTATTCGACTACGAGATCCTGAACGATGGGATTGATGTAATGATTGCCGATGGCAAGAAGTTACGCGTTCATGGAAAAGGAACAGTGAGGCTGACTGGTGTGAACAATCGACGAATTAAGATGATAAATGTATTGCACATTCCAGGACTTGACCGACGTCTATTATCAGTTTGCAGACTCGCTGAACACGGTCTAAGTGTCAGCTTTGAGCATTTATCGTGCATCATATGGGACAACAGAAGTGCAATTGCTGTGGGAAAGAAGATGGGCGAAGCGATCATGCTAGACTGTCAGCAGGAGGAAGCAAAATTTGTGCAGTAATCAAGGGCAGACAGTAAATGGGAGCTATGGAACGCTCGCTTGGGACAACCAAGTAAGGACGCACTAACAAAGACACAGCGTTGCACTGAAGGAAGTCCTGCGGTAAAGCAAGGTATCAAGACGCTATGCGGAGGCTGAATGAAAGGAAAACAAACCGTAGCCTCTTTTCCATCGAAAACACTGAAAAAAACATCAAAAGCATTGAGACTGGTCCATACCAATGTGATGGGACCAATGCGAACACTTTCAAAAGGTGGTGCCAAGTAGGTGCTTACAATCGTGGACGATTACTCGCGGTACGTTGTGGCGTAGTTCATGAAGAACAAGAGTGAAGTTGCCGGTAAGCTGAAAGAGTATCAAGCGCTGTATGAATATCAGTGGGTAGCGCGCATGAAGTGTCATAGGTCAGACAATGGAACGAATTTTGTGAGCAACACCGTGGCCGAGATGTGCATGCGAAAAGGAATCATGCATCAGCGATCTGTCCCGTATAACCCTCAACAAAATGGAGTGGCTGAGCGTATGAATCGAGCTATCATGTAGAAGGCTCGTAGCATGCTACAATACAAGGGTTTAGTATGGAATGGTGGGTATAGGCTGTGAGCACAACAGTATACTTGATCAACCGTTCCACTAACACAGCATGCTTAAACTCGACTCCATTTCAGTTGGCCTACTATAAAAAGCCTCGTTTGGACCATTTGCGCGCATTTGGGTCGCAGGGGTACGCCCACATTAATGATGTGAAGCGGACAAAGCTCGATTCCAGGAGCTTACGCTGTTTGTTTCTGGGGTATGCCGAAAATGTTAAGGGATATCATCTCTATGACTTGTACAATATCTAGATTAAGACATCACGTTCTGTCAAGATGAACGAGCGTGAGGTGGCCGGTATATACGACACGCGGTCGCCGCAGCTTGAAACAATCGTCCGTGTGACCACTAAACATGATGATGAAAATCTCTCACCTGTGGAGATAGAGCAATTAACGGACGAGCCCATGGAAGTCGATGAAGACCCTGGTATGGATGTGGAGATGGATGAGGTGGATGAGATGGAACATGAGCAGATGGTTAATCATCCTCGGATCCGGTCATCAGGACCTACACCAGTTGGGCATGAACTTACTGAACATTCTCCTCCGCAGCCGGTTTATGAGGAAGGCTGGTTGGTGTCTTACCTTGAGACAACATTATCAAGGATATCCAGGTAGCCAGCATTGCTACTCGAGGAAGAGAAATATTCCTACGAAGCACACCAGTCAGAATGGAGTGATGGACCACCATTACCAAAGCGTGCCAGAATCGATTATGAAGGGTTGCTGGCTGAAGCAGCATTAGCATATGCTGCAAATTTTGACGGCATTCCAGACACACCAAACACGTATGCAGAATCCATTGCTAGTGGTTAAGCAGATGAACAGAGCAAGGACATTGATGCAGAGCTTCATTCTCATGCCCAAAATCACACGTGGACCCTCGTTCCACGTAAAACGAACATCCGTTCGATTGGGTGCCGCTGGTTTTCGCTAAGAAGCGGGATGAGAGCGGTCAAGTTATTAGATACAAGGCAAGACTGGTGGCTCAAGGGTTTAAGCAGAAGTTTGGGGTCGAAATCTTTGAAACATACTTGCCGGTGGCCAACATGAACTCAATTGAGTTGTGCTTGCTGTGTGTGCGGCACACGCCTACATGATGGAGCAGCTGGGCACTGATACAGCGTTTCTGAAAAATACGCTGGTGGAAACCGTCTACATGGAAGCTATAAGTGGTGCGAAGAACGCTGAGGGCATGATATGCAAGCTGAACAAAGCTATCTATGGGCTGAAACAGGTAGCAAGCGCTTGGAACAAGACAATTCATCATGTGTTTTCTGCTTAACGACTTCAAAAGCTGCGGTGCCTATCAATGCGCTAACGTAAAGCATGCTCGAGATGGCTTCGTGTATGTGTGCCTATATGTAGACGACATGATAATTGCGGCAAAAACAAGCGTTGAGATTCAAGAAGTCAAGAAGGCGCTCAAAAACGCATTCCGGATGAGGGAGATAGGTGCAGCAAAGTTCATTCTGAGTATGGAGATCAATCACGACATAAACACAGGTGCACTCATGATAAGACAAACTCGGTACACAGACGAAATGGTAAAGTGTTTTAACAGCAGAACGCAAAGGTAGTTAAAAAACCATGCACTTCGAACCTGAATTGTCGAAATTGTTGTCGCCAACTACGGAAGAGGGACGTGCTGAAATGAGGTCAAAACCCTATCGCTCGTTGATCGGATGCCTGATGTATATCACGACATGCACCCGACCAGACATCGCGTACGTGGTTACGCAATTGTCGCGTTTTCTCGAAAACCCTGGAGTCCAACACCGGAAAGAAGCCATTCGTCTGCTTCAATACCTCAAGTCGACTCGCGAACATGGCATTGTGTACCAAGGAGGTTCCGGTAGCGTCACTGCCGAAGCATACACAGATGCTGATTGGGGCAGCAACACTGATGACCGACGCTCAGTATCAGGTGTCATGGTGATGATTGAAAAAACTCCAGTGGTATTCAAGTCGAAAAACCAGAGCACAGTTGCTCTCAGCTTAGCCGAAGCTGAATATATGGCGTAAGCCTTTGCACTCAAGAATTACTTTGGGTGCGGTCGATGCTTATGGACATGGGTCAAGAGCAAAGGAGGAACGCTTGTCTGGGAAGACAATCAAGGTGCTATTGCATTGGCATGTAATGCTGGGTATCACGCACGAACGTAGCACGTCGACATACGTCACCACTTTATTCGCGAGAACGTGGAATGAAGATCGATCAGGGTGGATTACATTGAGACGAAGCACCAATTAGAGGATATGCTGAGCAAGGAACTCGGAATGAAGACTCTTAAGTTCCTGCGTGAAGCAACTGGCACTAACGACAAATTTACCGTGCCAAAGCGGTGAATGGGAGTGTCATAGTAGCACCGCTCTTGCACGGTTTATCAAAGGGTGTTTCACGGTGTTGGTTACGGGAGGAGGTTATGGATCGCGGTTACGTGATGAGATCACAGGATGTCGTTACATTAAGGCTTAGATTTAGCTAAGGTTAGTGAACTAAGGACCTTGTATATATTTACTTCGGAATTCACATTCAACACCACAACCTTCATTTTAACACGGCCTCTGTCGCTGCGCTCTCCGCAGAGGCTGCAATGCGAATTTCAAGTTCAAGGTTCAAGACCTTTTGCTTTCTCATCCCGATGCAAACTCGACAAATAACCGCTATCGGGTCCGAGAGAATGGAAGATTCGATCAACATGTTCTTTGCTTATTAATAGGCAGCATTCGTCAGGTTATTTGGACGCGCGCCGTAGATGTGACGGACCTTGAATCCCACGAAGGCACCGGTCAGTTCATCCACTTGAGCAATTAAAGATGTACGCTTGACAAAGAGTTTTGTATCGTCACATGTGACCAAATTTTTATCGGCAAAAGGTGTATTAATGTCAGCACTTATACCATTGCGTATCGTGTTAAGTGCTAGTAAAGCATCTGGACATGGAGTCGCCTCAGGAATTTTTAACCATTCATGTCGCTCGGAGAAGGTGTTTCCCGTCAATTCGGGGACCAACGATAGTGAGTGAGGTGGATATAAAAAGTGTGGTGGCGTACACTAGGGATGGAATTATCTTGTCCAGAGCATATCGAAATGGTATGGAGTGGCGAGTAGCAATTAAAATACGGGACTCTCTGGTAATGGCGGAAGTGGTGCAAGAACAGAGAAAAATCCGACGCCAAGATATGCGTTACTTGCCGCAGATATTGTGGGCATTCTTGGGCGTCGCAAGTCATTAGGAAGAAATTCGAGCTGTACATGTCTGCCGACGCCAATGGAGCCCGAGAGACCGAAACACTTGAGCACTCGACACTAGCAGATAGAAATGCTTCGATTGTTCCGGCCATACTCCAGTGGAAAGCGCCCGAACCTGGTATCGGAGCGAATCGCCTTAAAAGCACTACTTTTTAGGAACATGACGCGGTGAGTCTCCGCGCTCAAGGAATGTGGAACATTGAAGTCGCAGAGTTCCTCTATAATTATTTTCGGAGTGCCACACGGATTTTTGGAGTGCCACACGAATGCAACCTCTTGATCAGCAAGTGTAAAGTTGACTCGACGCTTTAACCCATCGTATATGTGCTTTTTTGCCGCGCGAATTAGCGCTAGGAGCGCCTCCGGTGTAGATTCTGCATTACCCTATAAAATCTGGAGGAGAATTGTATTTTCAGCATTGAATTGAGGCGTACGAACATTGCTAAGAATAAGAGCTCCTACAATTCCGCGAGGTAAGCTTTGAATATTCTATCGTCGCCACACGCATAATGCAAGTGTCTGAACACGACAGGAAATCTGGCGGGCTAGGCAGCACTGTACTTCCTATGATTCAAGTGGCCAGACCTTCTTCTTCCACTGCAAGCATCGAAAGTAAATCTGAGTCCGACCCAGCATTTCTGTTTAGCATGAATGCTCCTACTGGCTTCTCTCTGCCCGACCGCGTCCTCTAAGCTAAAAGGATGGCTGCCAGGGGAGGTACGTAAATAGCTACCGGGTAAGATGGGGTCATCAGGAAATCCCGTCGGGACCAACGAGGAATTAAAGGCGCAAGAGTGCACATACTCACCCATTTAGCCTTTTTTAGGAGCTCGTGGAGGTGAGATAGGACCTTGTGGGGGCGCAAAAGAGTCTGCAGCGAGCCCTCTGCTCGTGTCAAAAGAGAGGGAAGGCACTTCCATGTGCGCTGTGATTGGTCACTTGCACTATCCGGTGCAAATTTGGAAGTGGAATAAAAATGCATGTAGAGACTGAGCGAGTGCTGCTCAAACATGTGATACCATGCAACGTCGCGGATAAGGTTATCCACTTGTCATCGGTGGCTGCATAAAAAAATCTTTGTTGAATCGGTCATACAGAGCTATACATGGTACGCAATTTTTCTACGCATCCTTCATCGATGCATTTAACGATACATATTAAAGTTGTCATAACCTTTCAATCATCTAAGTTTAACTCTACATTTCATGTCTGTGGTAAAGTTCTTCTTTTCTTTATTTAAAGCATTGAGTTATGCGAATGAGTACGCAGAGTCTTTGTGAAAATGAAAGGTATCGGTGAGTAAATGTATCTTATCACATGTTGCCTTGCTGATTCGGAGCGTGTTGTTAATACGGCAAAAAAACTCAATCGGTACAGCCGATTAAGTTTAGATGTGTTTTGCATACGTGTGAAAGATTCAGTTGGTAGCACATATATGCGTTAATCCCAAGCCTAAAAAAGCTTTTACAAGCCCTACATGCTCGAAGTGTACAACGACGGATATGAACAGCTAAAGAAAGAGATGCAAGACTACAACCAATCGGCCGAATTGATTCGTGCTGACATCTGGCAACTGCGCAAAGGTTGTGCTGTCGTGTACGGCTACCAACGCTGTGAGCTCACCGGTCAGAACATCCTAGGTCAGGAATTCTCACTTTTCCTTTGCTCTCACGCTTTCCACGCTGGTATCGTTCTCTTACGCAACAGATATCGCTTTTCGAGGCCATATTGGACGCGATCGCTCAATTAACACCATAAACTTATAGTCAACTACATCCATTAAAGCCCGGTGCATTTTCGCAAAAACAAAGGATTGCTGTGTCGCACAGTGTTTTCAAAGTTCTACTTGTAGTGGATATCGCACTGCCAAGTTTCAGTACAGGCTGGCAATACATATTGTGCATACACTTTTGGAATGCAGGAGTTTACCCTTATGTGGCGGACTACCAGGAAAGGGCTGACATTCACATAGCAAACGAATCTTGCGACATTTTGCTGCCAAGTTGTAAATCACGAGGCGCAGGCATTGGTACAGCTCCAAAATTTGGCTCATTCCCACACCGTTCACATCCACCACATTGTGTCACGCAAAGAGGATGAAACAAGGGGTTGATTGCCGCTTTCTACGGCATCGAAATTATTCACCGTCACCTCTCTCAAATTCATAGTCATCTACGGCGCCGTCACTCGCGTGCACAAATCTACGGCGCGTCCAGAAAATGTCCTTTAATCATTACCAGCATGTTAATGACCGAGTCCCTTATCGCCAATTGTTCACCCAGCAACCATTGGCTTAAAACGTTTGATAGACCACTACTCTTTTGTATTCAACTACTCATGTGGTCCGCGCACATTTTACGAAGTCCCAAGTATAATCGGAAGCGGGAAGTACGTCTCAATCCATGGTGTCTGCACAGAGCTCGCACTCAGCACTCCAGCACTTGGACCATTCGGTTTGTATGACGTCGTAAGCGCCACAGCAGCTACATCATGAAAATAGCCCTGTATCTGGCTATTATATGAGATAAAAGTGCGCAGGCACCGACTTGACCCAGTACTTCATTTCTTTGGCTGTACTTGCTCGACAAAACATTTTTGGTGCAGGCGTCACGACTTCGTTACAATCGGCCTTGATGTCAAAATAGATCTTCTAGAGGATGTTATTCGGCGTACGATCAATGCCTCCTTTCATGACTCCCATGTCACCTTCCCCGCTATAAAGTAATCATCGCATTGCTTGATAAAGGACGGATGGTATTCTACTGGTACGAATCAGCGCGTCTTCCGATCGACAACACGGGTATATTGGACACGGTTCAGTTCATAATTGATCCCTTTCAATCGAGACAGGAGGTGTTTGTGCCATTTTCACAAAGACACGACGAGGAGGATGTAACACGTCCAAACAATCGCAGACGGAAGAGGTGACATGGCCGTACTTATGGGTTTTCCGGAATGGATTATAATGCGCGTACTGAAAAAACTCACCCGTTTTGTTGCTGCTCACGGGATTCGAGTTCAGCCAGGAAGCAGGGAATGTAGTAGGGTTTGAGCAGCGGATTGTAATGAAATCGTCATTTTAAGTTTCGCACGGGCAAGTGAGTAAACAGTATTAGTGAATTGAGTATTTGGGATCTACTCCTGATGAATTTGGACGTATTTCTGAGCGACTTCTGATAACGAATCAGAATGACCCAGCCGGATGAAAATGAACCCAGCCGTTTAACATTCGCCGACAAAAAAATTGTCATTTGTAGTTGAATTTGAAGGCGGACTTGTCAATGAGTTGGACACGTATTGCAAGTTTGATTTAGAAATGCCATCCTTAGAGGCAATTGCAACACACAGTCACCACACTACAGTAATCCTGAAAATGACATGGAATGCTTACCTGGCTAGACGGCTGACTGCTAGATGGCAGTATTGTGAATGTAAAGAAAGCAAGAGCTAATCATATCTGGTAAACTAGCGTGTGCGATCAAGTTATCATTGGATTGCAAGAAGCGAGAGGCACGTCGTATGCGCACGAGCACCAAGCAGAACTGTAATCCCATGTTAAGAGCCCGAGCGTTGCTTAGTCATAATGCAGCATTCTGCATTAATTTGATCTACATACTGGCGAGAGCTGTGGATGTGATGCGAATACGTCCCTCATCGTCCGCTAAGTCAAAATCTGTCAACGATCACACATCGGTCTACCATTTGTGAAACTATCTGAGTTGGACGCACAACAAGATCATTCAATCACAACTCGTATGAGGTGTGTAGTCGGCGTCTCAAACTCACTCTACAATATCTGGCCAAGACCCACGGTAAAGCGCTCGATATGGTCTTTACTTTGGTTGTCCATCTTCACGTCAGGGAAGGCAAAGATGTTGAGAGGAAAATTCACGACAAACTCATTGAGGCCTCGAAGATGTACATGACCTACGCCGACGTCATCGGTTGGCATGCGATGCAGGACCATGCAGACCCTTGCAAATGGACCATTGTCGAGCGCTACAAGTTCTCTAGCGTACGCCCTTGACAGTAACAAAGGTGTGCATTTTTGCGGAGAGACTGATGGTCGTCTTCAATTCTGTTTACAGGGCGTGCACATTCACGACGCGAATCCGTATTTTGATGCATTTGGGACCTACATGGGACCACTGCTTGACCAGCCTGTGGATGTGCGCCAATGTAATGAGCTCGACACTAGCGAGCCTGTTCCATGCAGACTAGACGGTATGTGAGAGACCGCGTTGCGGTCAAGGAGTCCACCAATTTGCTCTCAACGTTTCGAGACTTTCATGCAGACGTGACCTACCGAAGGGTCTGATGTCCAGTCTATCATATCAGTAACAGCGCTCACGCGTCAGTCCATAAACAATTCGCTGACGAAATCTCGTTTCATGTTCGTAGTACTTCTTCAGCATAAACGCACGTGCAACATCCGTCCTGGCTGCTGTCCAGCAGTGTCAACACAACGAGGGCGAGTGCCCTGTTCGTTAGCTTATTGTGGAGAAGTCTGTAGAGGTCTCTTCGCGAGCATTCATTCATCTACGCAAAAGAGATTAGGCAACAAAGTTCTAGGCGACACTTCAATGTGAAGTATCAGGACCTTCTATCTCTCTCTCTTCATCATTAGTAGTCGATGATGGCGTAGGCAACGATTATGCCAATACGATCGTAAAGCTAAATGGCTCGCATGAGTAGTCGTTTATCAAACGTGAGCATGGTATCATAGAGCATTGACACCTTCTATAAGCACGCGAGATCTCAGTCTGTACGGAGTGCGGCTCGTCCTTAGAGCACCCACGTTGCCTCCACTAAGTGGGTAGCTGTTCCTTGAGGAGCAAAGGCTAGTCGTTTTTTGTGCTGCATGCAACTGTACAGCTAGCTGGTCCAAGTCGGTACAAGGATTGTCGTTCCTCGACGTAAAACAACATGGTAGGAGATCGTGCATCCTTGTAGGTATAATGTGTGATAGCTGGGTGTTACTGGCCCGAGAATTCTTGAATGCGATGATGTGTGCGGGGTTACGATGGGTTCGAACATTGATAGCGTGCTTGCAGTTCACCTCCTGGTGGCATCGCCTTTTCGTTTACGTGTTAGATCGCTTAGAATGTAATTGACTTTATGTGTATCAAAGCTGAATCTGCACCACCTTTTTGTGGTAAACATTGCCAACTCGTGCTTAACTCACATGTGCACTCACAAGCGCGACGACGACCGAAGAGCTCCTCTCTGTGGCCCTGGTAAGGAATAAGATGCAGTAACTTTGTCAAGCCCACTGTGCCTTTTCGTGGAGCAGTTCGGAGTCGACCCCGTTCAAGGTTCTCCTGTGGCTTTATTTTCTTTGGTGCGGTTGCGTGTGCGCCAGTGAATGGACAAACCTCTAGATCTTGCGTGTGCACTCAAGCACTCGAGTTCCCACACTTCTTGCGATGCGAATAGTTCGTAACATGATAGAAAAGTCCGTACTCACAATTCATACAAGGTCATTGCAGTGAAGTCATGCGCTGAGTCAATCATGTTTATTCTGGTCCAACCTTTTGAGTTAGAGGGCGGTACAGCGTGTGATGGATGCGTTCCGATAACTACAGCTCTTCTCCAGGGCAACTTTGTTAAGTGAGCAAGTTTTTGTCCGCAGCCCTCAGTCACTTTGCAATTTGTCCCTGCAATGCTTCCTTGTATCATGTTAGTCTTCTCGCTTGCAGTCGGGACAACTCCTGCTCTTCTGCAACATATCGCCATCAACTCGGAGGCTAATGGTCCTGAGACGATGGAACACCACGGCTCAGTTGTCGGTCTAATGGTCTAATGTCGATCGACAATCACAGCAGCACTCGCCGTAACAACTTGTTGGGGTCCAACGGTCGGGAGAGAGATGAGGAGTGAGGAGGAGCGATATATACGCTGGAACTAGCAAAGGGCATGCTTCAGGCGGGTGTGAGGAGCGCAAGCGCCGCCATAGACACACTAACGCAGGCATATCTCGACCTCAACAAGACTTACAAGATGTTGGAGGCTTTGAGGGCGTTTGAAGGCTAAACATCTCATGCACAAGCTGAGTCCTAGCATAACGAAGAGATCGGGGAGGATAGAGCTGGGAGCTGTACTCGAGTCCGACAGCAATCCCTTATGGCCCTCCTAACTGCGCATGGCGAAATAAACCAAGGATATCACTTGCCATCCTGTAAACTTTTGCAGCCTCTAGAAGAATACGTTTCTAAGAAGCTTTCGGAAGGAGTACATGGTAAAAGTGATGACTATGTGGACAAAGGATGGAAAATACAGTATGAAAGTCACTAAGCATGAAAATTGCTTTGTTACCTACTCGCGAGGGCCCAGAAGACGTTGATTTAAGGCTGTATAGCGATTGTATCGGGGGGAAAGGCAAGATGGTACTCTGTATCTTCAGACAGTCGTATGAGGCCACGGCGATAAAGTTGACGGTCCCCTGGTCAATTTCACGAAATGGCGTGAAGTATCTCGATATGTTGGCTATCGCAAGCGGGTGCTCGAAATCTATTCGTGGGACTTCAAAGCCTTTGAACCTAGCGGGAAGACTTCCAACCTATATGAAGAGCTTCCACGATGCTTGGCTTAGCTTTCTACATCTGTGGACTAGTGTGATTTCAGGTCTATGGGCAGCGGAGTTGATTCGGCGGTGTCTCCGCACTCGCCCACGTCTTATGCCAGTACTGGTTATCCATTACTCTCGTCACAAAGGAAGCAAAAAGGAGAGTAGCAAAGACACGAATGTCAATTCTAATGATAGTGGCGCGTGATAAGGAGCCGCGCCATCTACAGATCACCTTGACGATGATCAGGATGGTCCTCTTTTATAATTTACATCTTATTAATTTGCTTTGAACACTGCAATATCACGGAAAGAGGAAACATTATTTGGTGGATCACCGATTGAGCGATAGCTTGACGAACTTGCTTAGGGCCTCGCACGTGACCTGTGCAGATCGTAGTTGTAAACATGAGACTTTTGTACCCCATTGACCGTTGGGATGGGTAGGTAGAACGACAACTAAACTCGTTCATACGATGCATTTACGTATCGACAATCTATCGTCTATCAGTTTTCAAGATTAGTGCAGGTCTCAAACAGACTGTCATCTCGGTTTCGGAACGATGCCACAGCGTATTTGATCACGACGATTTTAAATCGATCACTGAGTCTGTGCATTAAATGTATGATCCACAATTTCTTGCTTCGTGTTGGATAGTCATCGCGTATTCGATTGTCGTACTCCTTACTGTTAGGCCCTAAAACCCTCACGATGTTGTACAAAACTCGGTCGAATTCAACATACAGTGCACTCTGTGAAGAGGTCCATGTGATGGCCAAGGGTACTCTTTAACTGGTCGCATTTTCGTTGTCACTATCAAAACGCCAACGTATACTATTCGTGAGGGTGTCTTCCTTTGCTGGGCGCTGTTATACGCTCGTCAGACACTTTCAGTTCCTATTTTACCGCACAATATGAAGCTCGTTCGTTCACTTGAATGAAGCAGCTGAACGCAACACTGTAAAACATGCAAAAGTATTCAATGACCTCAGCCCAGCAATCCTAACGACTAAACCTCGTCTTGCGCCGCATCCATAGACGCCAGCATTCATTCGATAGGTACTGCCAAAGCAGCTGGTCACCAACACAACATCAAGAACTGATTCCTCCATCACGTGTCACTCCAACATTGACACACTGCATTACAAGTGCCTTGAAGCCTCTTGGTCGCCACCCTGACGACACACTTTGAAAGTGTGCAGTACGGAGACAATGACAGCAGCCACGCCTGCTATGATTACGACAGTCGACATGTTCGGCAGAGATGACGAAGAGGCTCATTACTGGATAGTGGACGTAGTGGACGTAGTCGTGTTTGACTTCGACGCCGTGGTAAATGCAACGCAAGCATCGTAGTCTCGCACCGTCGAGAACCAGTAAAGAGAACACAGCCACTCGGCTTGGCACGTTGCGTCCTGACAATCCGACTGGAGACGCGACTGGGCCTTTGAGTTGAAGTAGTACTCCTCGAGAAGCTTTGCATCGGTTTCTGCACGCTTCACGAAGTTGACAATCTCCGACGCTTTCAACGTGCTGACACCATACTCCTGGCTCGCTTTAAAGAGCGGCTGCCAGTCCACCGTTCCAGAAGTAGACGAAATGTTGCCGCCGTGAACCGTGAAGTCGAGCAAATCGTGGGTGGTGACATCGTAATCCCAGACCATGAATGCTGGGTTGCTCGAAAAGATCGGAGAGATCGCCCCTGTCATGAACAATGGCACCAAGTCTGCCTTATCTTCAATAGCGTCGTCGCCTAGCACACCCGCTCGCTGGAATTGAGCGCCCAGACTACATGAAAGAGGCAAGCGGAACTCGATGCTGTGAACGTGGCCGAAAAGCTGTGCTTTGATGATACCGGAGTACTGGCCGACAATTTTCTTGTACGTTCTGATGTACGTCTCGTTCCACATGGGCGAACCACCAAACGAGGAGATAACGGGCGGAATATGACCGACAATGAAGCATGACTGGCCAGCGCTCTGCAAGGCAGCTAACGAGGCATTCAACCACGCAAACTGCCCGAACGGGTCAAGCACATCTGACGTATTGGGTTCATGGCTTGGCTGCAAAGGCGTCACAACACAACACGTTAGTGTTGCTGGTAGCAGAAACCGTACTTGGAAAATCAACGAGTTACCGAGTAAGGAAGTGTGTTCAGTGTAAGGACGGTCAAAGTGTCGTCCAAAGCGTACGCCAAGTATCCGCGGCGCTTGAACAAGTCAAGGTCGGCTTTAGACAGCGAATCTTGCCACGTACCTGCAATCAATGCGATTTGCGGGTTCTCCTCAGTCGTTGGGTCTGTCAGATTCATCCTATAGCCAGGGTCTAACACATACACAAAATGAAAAGTCAGTTCAAACACGTGCTTGATCCCGCAATTTTGACCTCGATAAAAATACCGCACTTGTGTCAGCATTGCCAACGACAGTAGTGACATCCTTCATTTTGTTACTGTCAGACGTTGCGTAATACTTGGCCATCGTCTTGACGTTCTTCTCGACAACCTCAGCGAGGTACTCTTCCGTCATATTTCCACGCACGACGCTGTCCCCCGTAAAGAGAAACATGTCCGGTTTGGGCAGCACCTTCTTTGCATACGCCAAGGCCGAGACGAGCAAAGTGATCGGTGCGTCTTTTCCGTACACGGTAGGGATTGCAGCTGACTCGCTGTCGTTGCGCGACGTTGAAATGTTGAGGTGCACGTCCGAAAAGTGCAAAATGTGACCAACGGTTCCTCTATCAGCTTTCGCGTTGCCACCGCTCGAGTACTCATCCCTGGGGCTCAGGATTGCCCGATCAGAGGACAACTCTGGTTTGGGCTCGGCCGCTGTAACAGGGCTGACAGCAGCAGTGAGCAAAAGCAGTCGAGTCGAGACCGATTCCGAGCGTTGTCAACGCCAATAGACTCGCGACATTCCTCATTGTAGAAGAACGTGCGATGCTCCAAAACGCTATCCTGTAACCCGATTTCTTGCGATCGTCAATGGAACAACTTGCGGTAACTTGTTCAGACTTGCGAGTCAATCACCTGCTCTCGATGATGAAATTACTGAACTGAACGCATGCTAAGCGTGACATGTCGTCACCATCGTCGTGTCGTCGTAATCCGTGTACGCAACACAACTTTGCTGACCTTATCACAGCACCACGCGATTCTGTCGCTCGGATTCCAATGCCGCCTGTCGATTGGCTGAAAAGGCAGACACTGCAAATCAAATAAAGCATTGGCTGGCACGCGCTTGAATGGCGTGGAGGACGCGTCAGTAGGTATTCCTCAAAGTGGCAAAAATGGCGAAAGTGACCAAGACGTTCAAGACCCCCAAGACAGCGGCCGGCCGGTCCGCGGCAAAGCTCTCGAAGAACGTGATCAAGGGCTCGCACGGAAAGGTGCTGAAGATCCGCACCAAGGTGCACTTCTACCGCCCCAAGACGCTGCGTCTGGCGCGTTCGCCCCGCTATGCTCGCAAGGCCGTGCCTTCGCGCAACAAAATGGACAAGTACCGTATCATTAAGTGTCCGCTCACGACCGAGTCGGCCATGAAGAAGATTGAGGACAACAACACGCTTGTGTTCTTGGTGGACTTGCTGGCTAACAAGCGCCAGATCCAGGATGCTGTGAAGCAGCTTTACGACATTAAGGTCGCCAAGGTCAACACCCTGATCAGGTACACGACATCGGGTCGAGCTTTTCATGATACCGGACGGAAAGATACTTTTGTTATGAAGTTCCTCTTGAGCTGCCTCATTGTCTGGCTGTAGTCCTGATAGGGAAATGCGGTGACGGGGTCTAAAGGGGCGGCATCACGCCGCTTTCCGTCCTATTGTTGTCACTGGTACTTTGTCAAATCAAGTGGACTCACTCTGTTCTCGTCCTTGTGTGTGTCTTGTCTGATGTTGCAGACCCGATGGCCAGAAGAAAGCGTACGTTCGCCTGACAGCTGACTACGATGCTCTGGACGTGGCCAACCGCATCGGCGTGATCTAAGCGCACTTGTTGCAAAGCTTCTGTAGTTGAGCCGTGAGGGATTGTGCTTGTTGCCACTTTGATAAAGGGATAACAATACAGGGATCTTGCACTCTCGTCTTGAGGGAGCGGGTTTTGGTTTGTTGTTGTCAATCGCTTTTGTAGATACGTATTCTCACATTGATTTACGCGATATTAGTCATCCGTGAAGAGGCAAGCAAAGGCGTAGTTCTATTCCGCTGACCAGATCTCACCTATGGTATGGTGCCTTTCTGTAGCTGTCGCATAAGTGGTGATGCCATCTTCGGCCGCACATGGTTTTACTGAAAGATCTTTATTGTACTGTCTGCACCGCCTGTGGCGATATAATTGCGCGACGGGTGGTAAGTTACTGCATGCATTGCTTCGGTCATCTTTGGCCGGTGCACCTATTACAACACACATGGCGTCGTCAGACTCGACAACTCAAAAGCGTCCCGTGTAACAATAACGTACTGGTTGCTCAAAGACACAGTGACGGTCTGCAACTGACCAGACACGCAATGAACCGTCGTGACCTGAACACCCAACGAACAATTTGTTATAAAAAAGAGGGCAGTATCATAACAGGCAGCACCGTACCTCCAGACGCGATGTACAGTCCTGCTGCATCTATTGAAAGAGACGTGACCGAGTCCTGGTGAGCGGTCAAAGAGCCAACGCAATCGCCTACAGTACAAAACATAGCCACAAAAACTTAGATCAAGGACACGCACATTGCAAACACACAGTCAAAAAGTCTTACCGGCCCGCATGTCATACATTCGAATTTTTCTGTCTTGATGTGCCGCAATCGCGATCGGCATGGTTGGGTGTACGATCAGCTGAAACAGCACGAGTAAACTTAGCAAAATAACCCAATAACAAGCACTACTTCAAGCATGAACACACAGCCGCACAAACGCACCTTATTCACCTGACCCCCTCTTCCAACAGTGTCGACGTCGATCGCTCGTGTAAGCTGTATAATGCGTTCAGCTGCGTAGTCAAACTGGGCAATTGACCCATTTGTGTATCCGACAACGGATGTTTTCGAATCTGTCAGCATCGAATTCACTGACGTGGGCACCAAAGAGCCACTGATGCTTGGACCTGTAAAAAGCGCGGTACCCAAAACGTGTCAATACGAAGTCAATTCACGAGCTCGAAAGGGCAGTTACGATGATTATCTCGACTTACCCGTGCCGTTCGTGTTGGTCTTGGAGGGGCACCGTAGTTCACCCTTCAGTGTCAGCTCTACCCCATTCAAAGCCAAAAGCGTACGTGTCAGCCACATCGACAACACCCATTACATTCACTTCCAACATCATTCTAGCATAGACAGTGACTTACCTGATGCAACTCCCCAAGTTCGGACCACGCCGTCCGCTCCTGCTGAGAACAACGTGTTCGACAGCGGGTGCGCATGCAGGTCCCAGATAGCATCGTCATGTGCTTTCTTGATCGAATGTATCTTCATACTTTCGTACTCCGCGTACGTGTACGGTTCGGGCTTTTCCGTATCGGTGCTTTGTAACTGGAACAGATTTAGTGTGCCGTCACGCCCAGCGGATGCGAATGCACCTATCTGTCCAGGCGAACAGTCCGGGTAGGTCTCAGCGCTAAACACAGCTAGAGCCAGCACGCTCTTCGTATGGACCCGCATCGTCACGAGCGAATCCACTTCGGTTGCACGCTGCAGTGGTGGGCCATTTCCCACATTCAACAGCTTCCACACCTTCACCGTACAGTCTTCACTGCCTGACACCAAAAGCGGTTCTGTCGGATGGAAGGCAAGTGCCCGTACTCCGTCCTGTGCAGTCAAAAACATAGATGCAGCCACACCACGGAGATTACATTAACACACACAATAACTACATCAAGCACGCAACAACACCGTACCATGTGTCCCGACAGCTTTAGCTTCAGTTTGTGCGGCACGCAAGACCCTTTAGGTGCAAACGCAATCACAGCCGGCTTTGCCAGCTTTCCTGTATCGCCCGTTCCTGCAACACCATTCAACATCCCCAAACCACCAGCCACACCATTTTCTTGTCAGCAAAAAACAGCAACAACTACAAATCAGCAATCCCTAAATGCCGCAACAAGCGCTTTGCCGTACGTTCCACGCGCTCTACTTCTCGTCCTGACGCCGACCGATTAAATTCCCTCTCGCCGTCGCGACCCGACCCCGTCACAGACCGGCTCGTCTCTCGCTCGACTTCAATGCCTGACGCGCTTCGGGTCGCCTCGCGCTCGACTTCTCGCCCTGATGCAGTCCGACACATCATTCGAGGGCGCGAGATCTCCAAGCCTTTGCCCTGCACGGGCGTACTCCCCGACCCTGCCACGGGCTTGTCTCTGCTCTCCGATCGACCATTAGTACTACTGCTATTGTTACTGTGCGCCTTTGGACTGATCTCAGGCGACAGCGCCGGTGACGGCTGCTCAATTGTCCGCCCCGACTTAACACGCTCTATCGAGCGCGAGACCGTCACGCCTCGTGACACCTCGGCGCTCTCCACGTGTGGATTGGTGTGCAAAGTGCCTGTGGTTTGCACCGCCGCGGGCGAGTCCAAGTACCGCCCGCGCTCTTGTCTTAAAGCAAACTCGAGCATCTTGACGCGTAACATGGCGTCTTTGTATGCCTGTTCCTGCTCGCCCCGCTGTTCCTCGAGCTCCCGTAATTGCGCCTGTAGTTTCTGACGCTCTTCATTCCAATGCGCCTCTTCACTCGCAACGCTGGCAAACTGCCGCTGCAGGTATCGCAGCGCCGCGTCCACGCTTTCCATGCTCAAGAGACGTGCCGGATGCGTTCGTCTCCCCCTCCCGTGGCGGTTAAAACTCGCGCCACCGACTCAATACCGATAATACCGATGAGAAAAAACCTCGGTTTTTGCATCGGTTTGTGTGTGTGGTGCACACATTGTGGCCCCGACTCTGCCAGAGTGATGTTCGTTTCCTCTTTTGCAAAAGGAGTGCGCACTGGTAAGCGGGCGCCATGTTCGAGACGCTCGTGACGGGGCTGTTGACCAGCGCACTAGGCAGCTTCATTGAGCCCAAGTGCTTTAGCAGTGACAAGATCAATGTGGCCGTATGGTCGGGCTATGTGGTGCTTACCGAGCTCGAGGTGAAGCCTGAAGCAGTGGCGGATCTGCCGGCCGTCAAGCTCGTGCGCGGGCTCGTGGGCTCCGTTGAGCTCAAGATTCCGTGGAACAGACTACAGTCGGACTCGGTAGTTGCAACGGTGGATGACGTGTACCTTTTGCTGCGGACAGAAGCGGATGTGGACGCGGTGATGCGGCAGATGGACGAGTTTACGCTCAAGAAGAAGCTGTTAGAGGAACTCTATGCTCAAAAAAAGCACGAGGGAGATGCTGGAACGCAGACTAGTAGCGAGGACGGGTTCGCAGCCCGATTGGTCAACAAGATCATTGACAACGTGGAGGTACGCGGACGTGATCGTATCGTCCGATCTTTATTTTTCTGTCTGCCTGTCCTTCCGTCTGTCTTTCTTTCTTTCTTGTGCGTGTTTTTTTGTTGCTCAGTGTGGTGATGGTTTGCGTCCTTGTAGTTGCATATTCGGCGAATCCACATTCGACTGGAGGATTACAGTACGGGGGACCACCCATTTTCGGTGGGGATGACCATCGAGTCGGTGCACGTGCAGTCCACGAACCCAAACTGGCAGCCGTCGTACGTCGATACGTCCAAGAGCCACGAGCCTCGGATCTACAAAATCATGGAACTCAATCACTTGAGCGTGTACTGCGATCCAGAGGGTGAGCTGCAGCGCGGCTGTGATATCAACTTTGAGACGTGCTCAGCAGAAACTTTTTCCAGCGCATTCAATCGCGCGATTCCGAAGCGCTTTGACGACAACCGTTTTCATCATATGCAGTTATACCCGTCACCACAACAACACCACTTTTTGCTCAAACCGGTCGATGCTAGTGCGAGACTGGTTGTGAATCGCGACGTGTTTGACGCAAATATGCCAAAATTTGAAATTGATGTGAAGGTGCCCGAAGTGGCTTTTCGACTGGAGGAGTCACAGTATTGCGATTTGCTGTACCTGGTGTCGGCATTGCAGGCTCCAGACTACTACATGAAGTTCCAGCGATATCGTGAGTCGAGACCGCAAATAGCTGTGCTTGAAGATCCAGTAGGATGGTGGAAATATGCGATCACGTCAGTAGTAAAGGACGTGAAATCGAAAAAGCAACAGTGGACTTGGGGATTTATAAAAGATCGGCGTGAGGATCGCAAACGTTACGTGAGCTTGTGGCAGCAGAAATCGCGACATTTATTGGAGCTAGTAGATGTGGAGTACGAATATTCTGACAGCGACGACGATGGTGATGATGCGAACGAAAGGGAGGGCACTATGGAGAATGTTGACCACGGCGGAAAAAACACGTCGTCGCTAGACTTGTCCAACATGTCAATTCTTTCGCCTCTTGATATTGATCTCGGGCTTGACGAAATCGAGAGACGCAGGAGTGTAGAGGATGTGTTGTTTTTTCGCTACCTGGCCGATCTTGAGGCTCGAAAAGTTCTAGCCACACGAGCTTCCCCTGTTCGACGTCGGCTGCCCACACCCCCAACCCATGAAACTCAAGCATTTTCTGATACTGAATCAGTAGAGACAGAACGCACTAAGTCTAGTGTGCCGTCTGAGGTGCAGTATCGATCTTGGGGTGCGTGGATGTTCGGTTGGACGTCAAAACTGGTGCCCTCTTCTTCCGACGAAGAATCAGGTCGAGCTGCTCATCGAATGATTCCTGAAGTCGAGCTTCGGGAGCTCTTTAACATACTCGAGGAACCTTGCCGGCGTCCGAAAAAGCGAATGTATAAGCATCGTGACGTCCGCGGACAATGCGACGTTTCTCTGGGCGAGTCTCAAATAGAACCTGCTGAAGTATATCGAGTGACAGTGACATTGCAATGGGGATCGGTAACACTAGCCAGTGATCCGGAAATGAGCCAGACGTTACTCCGAGATGATTTGAGTTATGGGCAAAAGTACGCGCCAACAGATTTCCTTCTTGGTACGTTCTCGCAGCTTCAAGTAGCTACAGTGGCGAGGCATGAAACAGTGGTAGTGGACGTTTCGTTGCAGTCCATCGAAGCATTTGATGAAAGTGCTGAAAGCTCAGCGTTTTCCCGTCTTCTCAGTCGAAAGCAAAACGTTCGATCTGTTGGCGATGGAGATGATGTGAACGTTGCGAAGCTGTCTGGCGTTGTATTCTTGATGAGTTACGAGATGAACCCAGCTAGTTCCAGTGCAGACGCCTCGTTGTTTGTCCATATGGAGCCGTTAGAAATTGTATTGTCACCTACAGCACAATGTTGGCGTCGGTTGGCGCGGTTTATGGATACTCCTGCTAATTTAGGGCTGTGGGAAGAGCTAGAAGTTGCGTCTTTCAATGATATTGTTAATTTGAAAGTGCGGACGGAAGCTAAGCTTGGCTATGTGATGGAGAATCGCATCGCACTCGCTGTCGATCTCCGTATCCAAGCACCAGTAATTATTGTTCCTCAGAGCGACACTGACTACAACTGTGCGCGACTTGTGATCGATCTTGGACGCATTATTTTCCGCACTGAGCGTCTCAGTCAAATGGATAGTGAAAGCATGAGCGTGCGATCAAGAGGTGACCCGTTACGGGATAGATCGGAGGAAGGGACTCTTGCACTACTAAGCCCATCTCATCACCAACTTGCGAAGCCAAACACATCTTTCGTTCAGCAGCTGTATGATGAAGCAGAGAAAGGAGAGGGGGCAATCCGCTGGAAGGAGGACTTTTACGATAAGTTCAGCCTCTCTGTCGCGAACATACATGTGCTCTTGATTCCTTATGGAAAGACGACTCAGGCCCAACACAACGGTGCTGGGAGTAATGTTATGAACTTCCTACCATACCTCACGGATACGTATGATGAAGAGTGTGAGCTAATTGAGCGTCTTAACATCAACATTATCGTTCGCATGTCAATTCTGCCGCTTGACGCTACGTTGACACGATTTTACATCCACGCCGACCTCCCGGCTTTTACGGTTAAGTTGTCGCTGGAAAAGTATCATCATTTGATTGCACTGGGGGATCGTTTTTGCCTGGCGGATGCTGAGACACTAAGAAAGTCAAGAAAATACTCGGATGGTGTGTCTACAGAAGACGTGCTCAGAAATTATGCAGCCGACGTGGTTGAATCAGGTGACAGATGCGAGGCTTTGAGCAGAGGGAGCCTACGCAGTGTGTCGGGACTCAAGACAACAGTTCTCGATAGCGGAGATAGATTGATGTCGGAATCCGGTGTAGCGCCAGACAATCTCGGCGACTCTGGCGACAACTCAAGCGTCGAAAGTGATGACACGTGGTTCAGCATCTCTAGCGACAACATGGATACGGGTGCGTCATCGGCGAGTGGGGGTGGTGGTGAGCGAAAGTGCAGCTTTCGTGCTACTGGGTCGGCCGATGCAGTTGGGGTAGATGACACAAGAAATGCCAGCATGTCCTCGCGATTTGTAAGAGGATCACAAAAAAGACGACGGCCGTTTGCTGTTGGTGGAACCGCAAATCTGCTTGATCGAAGATTAGTGGTATGCTCGTTCACGGTACCCCTTATATCGGTACAACTAAAGAAGCCTTGCTCTTCTGCAATATCTTCCTGTGCTGCATACTGCTACGACATGAGTGATTTCGATGTTGATCATGACGACAGTGGTACTATATTGGTGAAGCTGCAGGATTTTCGAGTCCGGGTAGGGCAGCGAACCTTGTCAACTCGAGTGAACGTGGTTCTCACATCACTTGAAGTCGAAGACTACACCGACGGTCGATCAACGCATCATTTGCTGTTTTCGAGTCCAGCCATTGTAGCTCCGTTCTCGACTGCAGCTCCTTCACGCCGTGGTGGGGACTTTTCTGAATTTTCCGCTCAACGTGGACGACGAAAACGGGAACGAGTTATTTCTTTTCGCAATGGTAGTGCAAAAAACAAGGACGCATCGCGATCAAGGATCTTTACGGCACCAGATGCGTTGCTGGAACTTGGCCTTAGCTCCTACAATGATCAACAAAGTGGTGAAGGGATGTTGAGAGAGATAGATCTTCAACTCGGCTCGGTGCAATTAAACTTTGATCAGTCATACGTCTGCTCTTTGTTTAAATTGTTCGACGATCCAGCCACTCGACTTTCTGTGGTGTCCGTTCCTCCATGTGGTGATACTGGTAGCCTTGATGATACGAAAGCCGATACAGATAGGTATTTACTTCCATCTTTGGAGCTCACACCTACTATTCAGCAAGAATATGCGATACCTGTAAATCTTACAGAGTCTGTTCGGGCGGATTTGGAACTAGCAAGAATGAACATGTATCAGCAAGGACGCGATGCGAAGAGTACAGCTATGGATGGTGAGAGTAAACTTGTCCCTATCGCGTTGAAGCTAGGTGTGCAATTACACTCGGCTTCTGTCTGCTTTTCGGATCGTGGTGAGTCAGTGGCATCGATTGCAATTCTTGATACCGCTGTACAAGCCAGATCCAGAGAAAAAGGCTACATAAGCATATCCGGTACAGTGGGTGACGTGAAAGTGTTCGACTTGTCTTCAATGAAACGCCAAGGAAATGAAACCGGCATCAGCAGTGCCAGCCGAGGGTATGAGTCTCCCGCTGTGAATTACATTGAGATCTTCGGTCTGGACACATCTGGTGCATGTGCGGGTAGTAAAACTCGACACCTATTGAGCATTGAATGTTTGATCGATACCGAAATAAAGCGGAAGACGAAAGCTGCCGCCAATTTCGACGAGCAAGTGCGCAGGCAGGATAAGGAATCGAGTCTTGAAGTCAGAGTGCAGCCTGTTCGTCTGTTGGCTCGGCCAGAGTTCATTGAGAGTGTGTCCAATTACGTCATCGACGGATCGCTTTCAGCCCACTTTCACTCCGACAGTGCGCATTCGAGCGAGAACTCGTTCACCTCCGAATTCCAGCTAGCTCCAAGATCGCCTCCTTATGCCGGCGGTCCACTGAGTAATTTGACTCCATTTTTTGATGCAGTCGAGGCATCACACAGAAGTACTAGGCAATTCAGCGTCGAAACGCCAAAAGTTCTTACTCCCACACACAGAGATCGTGAAGACAACTTCACCGTTGCTCGAGGACAGCAAAGCGACCACGGCAATCGATTTGAAAACGAAGACGACACAGCCGCAATCCTCGCGTATATTTGTGACAATTTTGACATTGATATCCAGCTATGCCACCCATGTGTTGTTTTACCGACCACTTCGTTTGACAACACACAAGAATCGCTGGGATCGCATCTGTTCCGCGGAATTGCAGTCGACTTTGGTACAATGTCAATCGCCTTGCGGCGAGAAATATCTGATAGTAGCCATGGTGTGTCTGATTGCACATGGTTCCAAACAAGTGTGACCGTTGATGGCTTGCACGTCATCTCCTTACCGGATCGAATCGCAATCCTTGATCGATCGGGCTTCCAAGCGCGAGGAAGTATTCCCAGGCAAAAGATGTGCCTGGATGTCGATGGAAAAGAAAGTGCTGCGCCAGAGGTTGCTGTAGATGTGAAAGTGTTTCCAGTTTGTGTAAACGTCAGTGCAGCATGCGTTTGTCTGGCTTTGGACGTATACTCCGGAGCCATTGACCCAATATCTTGTACAGTCCAAAAAGTGGTGTACCACATTGAAAGTTATGAGGATGAGCCGGTTGGATCAAGTAGCCAAGGCGGACATGATGGCAGTTTAGGATATATTGCTCCTGGATCAAATGGTGATACGGCGGGAGGATGGCAATTACTATTGCACGTTCTCTTTCAGGAGTTTAAAATTGCGCTTGTGTCAAACTCCGTGGCCCCACACCAGTTTAATATGTGGATGAAAGGTGTAGTTGACGTCCCTGATGAAGTGTCGTCGCAAGAAAGCTGCGGTGGAGCTTCTTCCACCGCCCATTGGCAATCTCATCCAGAATTTTTTACAGGGGGACGAGAGTTCTCTGTGAATGAGACTTGTGTTGCTAATGAATTTGCCTTGATTATGTTGGAGGCAAATGTGGCTTTGAACGTGACGGATTCCCGATCGTTCGATAGTCAGCTGCAATGTGAATTTACCTTGCATGAAACTGTCATTCGGGACAAAACTGCCGATCCTTCGGTGCGTACGTTTGATACGATGTTCATAGTTGTCCGTCTGACGCGTCAAGCTGATACTGACGCTATCCTTCTTGCAGGAATATTTCACGCAGCTACTAGGACCGGTTCCAGAAGCACACTCGGAGCTTACGGACTCACATGCTTCTCTTACAAACCCTTCGTTCCCATTTGTGCCTGGAATAAAGGTGTTACCTCCGTTGCTAGGACGTTCATCGCCACCTTCGTCGGAACTGGACGTACCATCTTCGCAGTTCAGTGGAAGGCTGACAAGCAAAATTGTCAATGTAGACGGATGTGCTGTTCGAATAAGCTCACTAGATCTGGATGTGTCTTCCGTTCGTCTTATGTTTCTATCGCGGACTCTTCTCCAAATGGAGCAATGTGTCCTTGATGTGTATCTAGCGGCAAGCATGAAGGCGATTGAACTAGAGCTTCAGCGAGGTAAGGCAATGGTCACGGAATCTCCTGGAGTTATGGACTCTACTTTTGTTGATACACGTGCTAGTGTCGCCAATAGTCCGGTTCTATCTTTTCGACAACGAAACAACAGCATTTCCGAGCTACTGAACAATACTCGTAATGCAGTTCGACCAGAATTCGCGTCTCCGTTACAGCGTATGCTGGGCTCGACCGGTGCTATGGAGAGTCAGACTACCGGAAGCTTTACGTCTCGTACGATTGCTGAAGAGACTGGAAGTGGAAAGTCAGTGGCCGATGGTCCTACAAATACCAACATTATCGGTGTTGCAAGAAAATTGCTTTTGATGCCCCGATGGAAGGTTGATGTCCGTTTTTCGAATTTGCAAATGTGGTTGGTACCGTCTGATCGCAAGAGCGGCGTGGCGGGTTGCGTGTTGTCTAGTCAAGTTGTCGCGAAATTTGATAGTTCATGTGGCGGATTCGAAGATTCTACTACTTCTCCTTGTAGTGATCCTGTAACTGCATGGGCTCGACTGAGTAGTGTGGAAGTTTCGACGGGCCTGCCGACGGTCATCGGTACTGAGCGACAAGTGACAATGAAGCATACGGGAACGCTTGTTGAGAAGTTCGAAGTCGACATCCAATTTGCGCTGCGCCAGTGCTTTCGATCTGTGCAGGAAGACAAAAATGTTAATCCTGAAGGCACTGATAAATCGAGTGACGGCAACAGTGATTTGAGTACGAGTGGAGAGGAAAATGTCAAGAACAACGACAAAAAAGCCAAACTCGGGCCATGGTTGAATAGTCATCCTAGTAGGATGGACGACAACCCGGCATCTTTACCCAAACTCTTTCTTCGCGATGTGCCACCCGAGTGGCAGGAATGGATTCTTAGTGAACCATCGGTTTGTGTTAATCAGATTGTGTCGCACATTGCCTACCGAGACTTGCCGCTGTTGTTGAAGATTGCTGCAAGTCTGACTAGTATGCTTACTATTGAGGCACGGATTCGCGATACGTTTGCTGCAAGGCTAAGAGCAGCAACAGAAGATGTAGACTGGCCAGATTCACCGAGTACTACAGAACACTATGCAGAAAACGATGATTACCCTGGAGCAGATGACCCGAGTAATCATGCTGAACAAGCTGAACTGTCAATTTTTCAGCCGAACTTTCTTACAAGCGCTTCGATTGGAGTGCGAGGAGTTCGATTTCAGTTGATTAACAACATTGCGGACCAGGCTTCACCTGTGGTGGAGTTTGAATTGAAATCTGTTGACTTGCTGCTACGGTCAGAGTCACACTCAACGGTTATGATTTCGATAAGTTGCGAAGTAGAAGCAAAGTACCAAAACTTGCGTCTTGTGACGATGGAACCACTTATTGAACCATGGGACGTCAAGGTTACGCTGTGTCAGCAGCACTCACTATTACGTGGTTTGGATGATAAAGAGCAGCTGGCGTCACCTTGGAAGCTCGATATCACGTCTGACGCTCTTCTCCAACTCAATCTGACGGATGCATTGATCGCCAACTTGGTGGCTGCAGACCGGGCTTGGCGGTGGGTTGCCAAGCCCGGTGGAGACTCACGCGAGATGACGGAGTATTCTACATACTGGATTCGTAATAATACTGGAATGCCATTACGGTACTGGGGTTCGTCTTGCTGCGAACATTCTCTCGCTGCTGGCGAAGAAGAACCTCTCCGACTTGATGAAGAGCAGAGCACAGGCAACGATGAGATGAGTTGTAGAGGAAGCCGTTGCAGCGCGCAAGTGAGCGATCGCCAGATCTTCATTGCTGTCGAAGAGGAATACCTGGACGATAGACTGTCAGGCACTTCCGCTAGGCAATGGAAAAGTGAATCATCTATTCCGGTTGATCAAGTCGATTCTCGCATGTATACCTTAGTTGACTTTGAAGCAGGCATCACGACCACTCATGTGAGAAAATGCGAGTGCGTAATTGACGTGCTTGTGGAGCGCGGATGCAAGTATTTCGTAGTGCGTTCAACTTTGATTCTAGAGAATCAAACTTCATCCGACTTGGAAGTTGAGTTCATGCTTCCCCAGAGGCACTTGTCATCAGAATTGTTGAGCGCGGGAAATTCTTCGCAGGGACACATTAGACCCATTTGGAAAAAGGTCGTCAAATCATCCTCTGCCATTCCAGTTCCGGTGCACATCGCTTCATCTAGCGGAGGCTACGTGATGGTTCGCCCTCCGGCGATCGTAGGTGCTGATGCAAGGGATGATGTGCTTATGAAACCATACGCCAAAGAGCGAGTGTGTCTTCCTCTCTTTGATGCAGGTACCTCCTTCGTGAATGAAGACATGAGACAAATGGATGCTAACGAGTCTGATCAGTCCCAATGCACGATCAAATTCCAACGCTTGTACAGCGATAGGCCAGTACGTCCATTCATGATGAACGTCTGCTTATCTGATGCGAGTAGTGTACTGTATCACCGCACGCTGTCATTTCATCCACCGTTGACCGTGCATAACCTCACTGCTGGACCACTCGATTTTTGCTTGGCAACTCCGAGCGATTGGTTGCCTGTAGCTAAACAGGGGACAATACCGAATGCAGAAGTAAATGCGGGTTGGGAAGCTTGTGAGCAACGATTGTGCGAACGAGCTACGATTGATGTTGCTGACTCACTTATTTGGCACTTGTCAAGTGAGGAAACGCCTCTTGTGCTCACCGTCCGGATGAAAGGGTTTGACTGGAGCGAACCGCTCATGCTCGGTGAAGATCTGGATGACCTAGTGCGGATCAAGATGAAAGATATAGTGAGTGACGCACTCCTCTACGTTACTATAGAGATTCGGAGGAGTAGGGGTCACTGCCGTGAGTTGTTTCTCTACGTGCCGTACTGGATTGTAAACCTGACGAATTTGAAACTCGAGTTTGAATACGAGAAAGAGCGCATAGGGCGTGAACATAGGACCACGTAAGTTGTTAAGGAAGGAGAGTTGCGACGTTGGAAATTGCTGGGAGGACTGATTCTGATTCGTTTTATATTGTTGTCAATGTCTAGACTGCTGGCGGGACAAACACGACTGGACCGCGATGAGCTTCTTTTGAAAGAAAGCCAGAGATCTAAGACTGCGCGGCGTGGGCGCAATGCTCATCTACTGTATCCTGTTCTAGATGAGGAACATGAATGTGCGGATGGGTCTGAGGCTCTTGAACAGCGACACAACACATTCAACCGCAGAGCACCTCCCGTACTATATAGCAGTGAACGCAAGAGGCGCCGCCCTCGGCTTCTTCCGAGTGTTTTGCCAGTAAAAGGCTTGCTGGACTTGCTTCCTAAGGCAGCCGGGTATGGCCCACGCAGTACCGGACACGTGGAAGTTTTGCAAGCTTGTCATTCGGACTACCGAACAGATCGTGGTTGTGTTCGTCTTCGAGTCAGGAATGAAAGTGGTACGGCTGGTCTAGACACCAGAGAGGAGCTTGGGCATCGAAAATGGTCCGATTATTTCGTCCTGGATCTGGCTGGAACAATTGGCGAGATTGAAGCTGACGACTATGAAGTTAACCAGAAATTTAGTATCGGCTATTCTGTTTGTCAAGCAGAAGGTCAGTACTCACGAACGAAGGTGATTATGTTGACGCCACGGTTTGTGCTCATTAACACAATGGACAGTGCCATCGAGGTGTGCCATTCTTCGTCCAAGACGATGACGCCAACTATGATTGACGTGGCTAACGCTAACGGATCTGCCTCGCGATTGGCGTCTTCCGTGACTCCCTTCGTCCAGCTAGATGCTGGAGCACATGCTGATTTTCACTGGACACTACGATTTGCCAAGACACGTACGATACGGTGCCGTTTTGTTGATGGTGGGTGGTCTTGGAGCGGTGCTGTGCCATTAGTCGAGTCCGGCGAGTACGCTATCCGCATGCGTCACGAATCCTTGCGGGAAAGCAAGCTCGTGCGGGTGACACTGAAGCTAGACTCGTCGTGTGTATGCGTGTACTTCCGAGAAGAACTTACAACTGCGCCACCATTTCGTATCGAGAATTACTCGTTGGAAACGCTTCGAACACACCAACACCACGTGCGCCGCAGCGAAATCTTGTTACCACACCACAGTCTAGATTATGCATGGGATGAACCCACTGGGGAACGGTTGCTTGTTGTAGACATGCTCCCTTCGGCGGCTGGCGACAATAGTCGTCCACTGCGCATTGGAAGTTTTGACCTGGATAAAATTCAGCGATACCCCGATGTGCTCGGCGGTACTCTTGGAATTGAAGTATCTACAGACGGGCCTACTCGTGTGCTGCGTTTTACTGATACACGTTTGCGTAGTGAAAAGACCCTGGGAATCCGACCTCAAGATGCTAACGATTTGGCAGCAATGACTGATGTAAGTGAAAAAACTGGTGTGCAGTTTCTTAAACGCTTTGTGACCGCGCCGATGGTGCATGTCGCATTGCGCCTCCAAGGTGTGGGTATATCGGTTGTTGACAGCGCACCCAAAGAACTGGTATACATATCAACCTCAGGTATAGTGTTAAATGTTCTTGTCAACGAGAAGGATCGAACGGACAGGAGTGCTGCGGTCGCCGGGAATGCGTCCTCGTTGTCGCGACTTCAACGTGGGCCACGACCCCGGATTCTAGCTTGCTGTTTTGAAATGAGCGATGTACAAGTCGATAACCAATTGCAAATGACGCCGCATCCTGTACTGCTGCGATTTTCTCATGTGAATGGTAGATCACGATCGGCTAACCGACAAGGAACAAGTACCCCCGCGTTACAGGTGAGTCTTGTGAAGCACGACGAGTACGCCGGTATTGAGTTCATCAGGCATTTCAGTGTCAAAGCTCTGCCAGTGCACATCCGGGTGGATGGTGCTTTACTCTATCAGATACTCCCCCTACTGGTCCACGCCAAACTTTTTCGCAGGAACGGAAGTATGGATATGCCGATTAAAAGGCAAGTTGGTATTGTGAATTATGGCGAAAGTAAGAGCGAAGAAAGGACCCGAGCTGTACACAGTCGCTTGTTGCTTCGAGACTTAAATGCTAGTCTAGAAGTTCCGGTAAAGGTGCTTGAAGCAGCTCAAAATGACGGCGTGATATCTGCGGAACAAAATTCTCGATCAACATTCACGACTAAAGCGCTCGCTCGGACAAACAGTGTTCAGCAGCAACAGCTTGTCGACCCGCGTCACAAGCACCACACCACATTGGCCACGGAGGTTCGACGCTACTCGGCAATCAAACATGGCAGCTCTAGCGCTATTGCTGCAAACGATGAGCAGAAGAAGTTTTACTTCGAAGAGTTTCACATCGACCCCATTCGCGCTATGGTCAGTTTTTCGTTTGGGGATAGTGCAGGCGCCATTGTGGACGGCTACTTGTCTCCATTACCGCATGCAGCTGCATTGACGAATTTGTCATCGTCGAGAGAGTCGCCTGTCATTACGGTTGGTCCTCTACGGCTCATCCTGAATGCTATTGGCACTAGCTTGACTAAGATTGCAAATGCTCCGCTCCAACTTAAGGCGCTGCACATCCGTAATTCGTTTGTACAGCCTGATGCGTTGGCAACGCGGTTGGCGTCACATTATCAGAGTGAGGCACTCCGGCAAGCTTATGTCATTCTGGGAAGTGTCGACGTGCTGGGCAATCCAATGGTCGCATGGAAAAATCTTCGTGGCGGTTTTCAGGAGTTTATTTCCGGGCCAGCGGACGGGCTCTCACAGCGAAGCCCACAAGCTTTTGTTTTCGGTGTGTGGCGTGGATCCTTGTCGCTCGTGCGAACTTCGGTGTACACCTTCTTGGACTTCCATACGCGTATTCTCAAGGCTTTTTCTCTCGGCCTTTCGGAGGCTTGTTTGAAGTTGGATGATTACACGGGCTATCCCGCTACGCGCCATATTTTCCAGGGTCTCGTGCAGGGTGTTTCGGGTATTGTGGTGGCTCCAATTCACTCGTTTGAAGAAAATGGCGCACACGGTATTTTGCCTGGACTGATAGCAGGTGCATTTGGGGTGGTGCTGAAGCCGATGCTAGGCATTTCTTTGGCTTTATCAACAACTGCTGCCACGCTTCGCGATGCTGTTGACCCCAATACCAAAGCACTGCTTGTGCACGTCCGGCCGCCACGACACATCGACCTTCGGACGAAGAAACTTAAGGTCTACTCTTACGTGGAATCGTTGGGTGAAGAGATTGTGGGCAAGATTCGTGGTGGCCGTTACCGTGCTGATGGGTATCTGGGTCACGTTGACCTTAAAGCTACTCACCAATCTGTCTTAGTGACCCGCAAGCGCGTTCTGTTTCTAAATGTAAAAGGTGCAGCCTCGGCGGAAACTGCTAAGTATGGTGTCGTCTGGGAACTGCTTGCCGAGGAGATCGTGATGGTGGATTGCTCCAGGACGCCGGATGGGCAGGCCATCGTACTCTATTACATAGAAGATGAATTCCGCGCGGCTGGTGGTGCCGTACGTAATACCCGGGACGCGAATGGATCTGCTGCAGTCAGCTCGACCCGCCAACGCACTCTCGGTATGCCGCGTGGTATGGTTTTGCAGAAGTACGAGGTGGCCCTGCCAGACACGAAAGTACTCTTTCTCCGTGCCATGCTGCAGCAGCAAGAGCGCTCTTTGCTTACCAAGATGAACAGTAACTACACAGAGGACCACTCTTCACAGCACTCCATTCCGTTGTCGCCTCTGACAAGATCGAGCTCGATGGAGTTCAGTACAGCGTGGCAGACGCAGTACTCATGCATGCCACCGCAGTACCCGGTCTTTCGACTGCCACGGACGCTGCAGCAGACTCGCAGTTCTGCAAACCTTGCGCAGGCGCTACATGCGCACAACAACTACAACAAGCACTGGACCCCTACGCCAACGAAGGGCAGCTTGCGTGCAACTAAAATGTGAGCACGCGTTTAGTTGGATCCACCACTATGTATTGTATCCTCCTGATACTTGGTCCTGAATGTTTCGGTGGCTTCCTACCGATCGTTCGCCTTCGTACTGGTATTCCACATGCCACCGTAAATGCTGCCGGGTTGAGCCAGCAGCCCTTCGTGCGTACCAAGCTCAACGATGCCTCCGTCACGCATGACGATGATCTGATGTGCATGGCAAATCTACAGCAACACCAGACAAGATGAGTGAGCATACGACCAAAACTAGGTGGCGGGTACACATTGGTAAGACTTACCGTGGACAAACGATGCGCGATAACGAGCATTGTGCGGTTAGCCTTGAGACGGTTGAGTGCAGCTTGGATTTCCTGCTCTGTTACTGTATCAAGTGCTGACGTAGCCTCATCCAGGATGACAAAAGGAGGGTCTTTCAACAATGTGCGCGCAATGGCAACACGCTGTTTCTCACCCCCCGAGAGCTTCAGTCCACGCTCCCCCACTTTTGTATTCCACTGATCCGGGAGCTTCATGATAAAGTCGTAGATGCGAGCAGCCTTAGCTGCTTCAACAACCTGATCAAACGTTGCGTTGAGGTTGCCGTACTTAATGTTGCAGAGAATCGTGTCATTGAACAGCACTGTGTCTTGGGGCACGATACCGATGGCTTGCCGCAGGGACTCTTGAGTTACCGTTGCAATGTCCTTGTGGTTCACCATAATTTTGCCCGAATCGCATTCGTAGAAACGGAAGAGAAGCCGTGAAATTGTAGTTTTTCCAGCACCAGTCTCACCAACGAGTGCTGTAGTTGTACCACGTGGGATTGTGAAGCTTAAGTCCTTGAGACCAGTATTGGCCGACTGAGACGGGTAGTGGAAAGACACATGGCAAAAAGACACGTCAATACCGACCTCCGAATCTTCTTTTGATACGCCGAGCTGCACTGCATCAGGCGAGTCCACAACGTCGGGCTCCACTGAAAGCAGCTCACTCAGCTTCTTCATATCGACGACCGAGTTTATTACCATGTTGTAAATGCCACCCAGGAAAAACAACGGGGCGAAAAGGTTTGTGAGATACACTGAGATAGCAACGAAAGCGCCAATGTCAATTTTGCGTCCGCTGTCCTCGCTCACTACGTGCGGAGCTGCCAGAGTCAGTGCTACCAGAACGGTAGCCTGGATGACAATAGCCTGACTTCCATTCAGGACACTGAGAGACGCTTGAGACGAAAGCGAGTAACGCTGATACTTTTCAATCACTTTGGAATATTCCTCAACCTCGTGACGTTCGTTGCCAAAATACTTGATAGTCTCATAGTTCAGTAGCGCATCGGTCGCCTTGTCATGATACTCATTGTCGTGGCGCATCGACGCCTCGCGATACTTCTTCCGCCAAAGCGTGATCTTGATCGTAAGGTAGGCGTAGACGACCAAACTGGAGAATGCCACAAAGCTCAGCCCCGCTAGCTCGAAATGCACTGCAAAAATCACAATCACCACTACCGACTCGGCCAATGTTGGGATTAGGTACAAGAAAACATAGGACACAACACTATTAGCCGACTCGACACCGCGATCCATCGAACGCAGCACGTCGCCCAATTTCTTCTGCACGTGCCAATCGTACGACAGTGACTGCACATGTCCGTACGTCAACGTCGCCAGCTCAATATACGCCGTCTGCTTCACTTTGAGATAAATCAGTGACTGCATCTCTTTAAACAGTTTCGACACGAGCGTCAAAGCACTGAAAAGAGCGATCGACGACGTGGCCCGACCAACATCTTTCGCCACGAGGGCATTCGTCGCCGCTGCCATTAACAACGGTGCTGCCAGATTTGCCAATTTACTTAAAATCAGCACGACATACGTGCTTAACGCCCGTAGTTTGTTCGTCAGTCCATGCGGCCAAAAATACGGCTTCAAGATCGACAAAAACTTGACGAGCGAAATACCGCGCGGTGGCGTCGTCTCAGTATCAAGAGTCCCTTCTCCGTCAACTTGAGGCAACGTGTCCCTCTCTTGGACGACTGGGGTCTTGACTGAGTCCAGCAAGTAATTGAGATTGACCACTTCCAACACGGTAAAAATCAATGGCAACGAGTTGGCTACATTAGCATCCACCAGAGTCTGTGTCTCCTCACCTGGACTTTGATCCAGAGCGTCCAACGTGAACGCATTCACTGCCAAGAGCGTCACAAAGACACCGCAGAAAAGGTACACGGTCCACGCCATTACACGGGCGTCTGGCCAGCGTGTCGCGAGCAAGCACAGGATACTTTTGACTGCAGTGGCCCACACAGGAAGTCCCCAGAAGCGCCACGCGAGGTGGTGCGTGTTCAGCAGCCACTGCAGTCGCACGACTGTCGACAGCCCTAGACTCAAACTGCAGACAAGGACGAGACTGCACAAGTCTCCGACCAACAAGAGCAAGAAACTGAACTGGAAACACGACAAGGAACGTGGACTGGACGCGGACTGGCGCCGCTGGCGGACGTCGAAGCGACCATCGGCGTCATCGTGAACGTCCTTTCTGTCGGCTTGCCAACGAGAAAACGTGCGGTTTGCTGTCGTTGGTCTTGGGTCCGCAGCGTCTGTTGGTAATAATGGAGTTGTCTCCGGTATTGACGTGCGCGTCATTCGTGGCAGCCAATGGGACGGCGCTGGACTTGAGCTTTGGCCAGTCGATTCGAAAGTGAGGGTCGAGTCGGACGTTGCGTGACGGAAGCGTCGAGTGATCTGATTGGACGAGACGCACACCTCCTGGCTGAGGAGGGATGGAATGATGGTCTTACTTCAACCTGCCGTCGAGGTTAAACTACATGTACTGATTTAAATTAGTGGCAGTCGAGCGTGCTCGAAGCGCTCCCGGCTCGTCGTGTGTTTTAAATGTGTGCAACGCTGTTTTGTTGTCTTGTGCTGATTGATGCGCACTGCGAATCGTGACATTTAAACGGTCAGATCGTCGATTTCCGATAAACTGCAGCGCTGGAATCGCAGCGAATCCCAATCGTGCTCATTCGTCAATGAAGGCCAAGACTCTGCTGCTGTGGTCTGCATGTCCAGTGAATAGGTGTTGGCAGGCCTTGCCAGGTCAGACGACACTGCTCGCAAATTGGGTGGGCGTAGCGCACCAGAACTACCATCCACTTCGAGATTATGCTGCGGATGCCACCTCACAAGCTTGTCCAGAGTCTGCCGCATGAGTCGAACAGCAGCTTCTTTTGTATGGTCACTTGCCCCTCGCTCTTGCAGTATACGCAAAACATTTTCATGGCTCTGGATAGAGATCAGCAACGCCTCAGAGAACGAAGCGATGTCGATATCTCTCAGATCTAATTCGTTCACAGGTGTCGCCACGAATTTAGCCAGATACACGTCATGAAGAACGAGAGCACTCGAGAGCTCTGGATACTGGTACCGGAACGAGTCAGCAGCTATCAAATGGTCAGGGTTCCAGCGCGGCCAAGTCTTTGTGACGGCTGCAGCTTGTACCTTTGCGAGCTCCCTTGTGATGCACGTTTGCAGCCGTTGCCTCATATTTGCCGTCCAGATGAGCGTCGCCGTGTCAATATCTTCAGTGGTTTGCAGCGACAGGATAAATCTATCAGGGGACGAACGAAGTACCTACAGTTAACAGCATTACAGTGCCATTAGCATTTATCGAATAGCAACAGCAGAACAAGGTACCGCGTAATCGCACTCGGACAAGGCTTGGTGTTAGCAGCTGATACAGCAACTGGGTTGCTAATCCTGGTGCGGAGGCGTCTATGGGTTCCAGACACACACGCAAGACCAATGCAGCGCTTCGTATTGCACCAATGAATCGTGACGCAATCCGTTGCATCTCCCCTGCTGAGCTGCCGATCTCGCTGCGTTGGTTGTCGACTTTCTTACGATCATGGGGGTGCTTATCGTTTGCACGCTCTTTTTCGTCGTCCTCAGCACATGACGTATCCGATTCACTCCGCGTATCCGAAGCCTGCGACTCTGGTATCCCTACTTCATCTGTATCTCCGGCCGGACAGGAAGTCACGATGTCCAGAAGCGAAAGTATGCCACCGGCGTTGACCACTAGCGCACGAAGGCCAATGTACCGACATATTCCACACAGGCACCTTAGACACGCGCTTGCTGCGTCAATATTCGCGTACTGTACGATAATATCACGTGACGCAAGCTCGATCAATGCGGTCACCACTTCTGGATTCCTTCTTATAACTCGAACACCTGCTTCCTCTTGGTTTGCTAGAGTCAGCAAAACTTCTGTCAAGCGATGTAAAAGCACATGTGCCATGTTTTGGTTACTTCGGTTGTTCCGCCGATGAGGTCCAAATACGGTTATTGTTTGCAGCGCATGCTGATACGCGGGCTTGCGCATCCTCTCAAGAGAATCAGCGAGCACATGCAGACCTCGTTCTTCCAAAAATAGTTGACAGGTGCCTATAGTGAGGCCACACTTCTCGGGAGCAGACAAAATTGACACAAAAAGCTCCAGTGACAAAATTCCGAGCAGCTGGTCTGCTTCACTGAGCATAGAGCGGCGCAGAGGAGCCAATAAAGACTCATAGAATGCACTCTTGATCTTGATTTCAGCGCAGCGGGATGGAACTAGTCGAGCTAGAGCCTTTAGAATCAAAACTCGTACCTCCCACGGCTCTGCCGCACATGACCGCTTACTACTTGGACATTGACTTAGAAGCGAATGCTGTGGATGTGAAGGCGACAAACCAACGCTATCAGCTTCGACGTGCTCAGATTCTGTGCGATCAACTACCGCGAGTGCCTCGAATAGCGCATAAATTGACTCACTAAACATTGCGGGTGTCCACTTGCCCAAAAACTCTCCAGCGCCTTCAACGTAAGACCGCAGAAAGATGTTGCCGATGAAAACATCGTCAACCTCGTAGCGGCGATTAGCGTCGCCATTTACAACAGAATTCCAGCTTGGAGGTGGCTCCTTTTCACTAACGTCCATACAGTTGAGTTTTAAATACCGAAGAAGCCGCTCGCGTTGCTCAGTACCCCAGCTTACATCAGCCGCGCGTACTTGCGATGCGTTAAAGATGCTCGTAAAGATATTCGCGTTTACAGAAAGTAGAAGCCGCCCCATACCACAACCACTAAATCCAACGGCCTTACATAGCATGGTGTTGAAGTCGCTGGAGGGAGTCATCAACTGAGCATCCGTCAAGTCTACCTCGCTGCAGACGGTCGGGGGTTCTGCATAATGTTTCTTCAAAAATTCAGCTGTGGCCAAACACATTCCCATCCCCTTTGGATCGCAGCTGGCGAGCAAAGCGTATACAAGCGTGAGAAACCTCCAGTTAATGTCAACTGTCGAACTTAGACGTGATTCCGTCGATACTAAGGGATACAAAGTTAACGATATACAACTTGATGTTGTTGCTGCTTCGGAAGGAGTACTGTAGCCATCCATTATTGTCCAGAAGCTCCAATTGCTCCAAAAGAAAAAATATGTGGGTAATCGTCACGTGGTCCAAAGTCTCCACTGCAATAAGCCGACACAGGAAGATACGCTTGGGGCGAAGCAGTTGCAGAACGGACTTGTCAGACCTAGTAATTGTAAGTAGAACAGAGATTCCTGCGCGCAACATCCCATCGCGCTGGTTAACTATAACCACAGCCTTATCTTCTGGATCTACAAACCGCACGGAAGTATCCTCGTCAACTTCATCGACTGATTCAAGGGGTGTTGACAGCGATGCTAATAGTGCAGGATCCGCAAGAACATCAACAACAGTGCGCGCCACTATTGTGCCAAGTTGACCAAAGTGTGCCGAGCGAATGTTCCGTGAGGTAACGACGGCAGCACTGAGAAGAAGGAAACATTCGCGAACAAAAGCAGGCGAGTGGTTCATATGATCACGCAATAGCACGAGCACATAATGCGCTGGGATCTGGCCATGAAACAGCATTGCGTAGCGTCGAACAACCAACCTCAAACAACGAGCACACATAATTGTCCGGTTCTCATCGTCTTCAACCGCAAGTCGATCGAAAAGATGCCAGGCTAAGAGTACGGGCTCAGCAATCTCGTACGTGTTCGTCAAGTCAGCCACACGAGGAATCAGGTATTCCACAAAGTAATTATTCACCACAAGCTCTTTATCCAAAGAAGGGTAACGCACATCAAACATTTCGTGATGCCAGAGCGGTATGCGCTCTCCAAACTGCACGATCTTATTTTCTACCATGTGTCGCCGACGACGTCCATGAGCTTCAATTTCACCTCGCAAAGCCGAATACAATTCTGCACGCATAGGGACACGCCATACCAATTCCGGGCTCTCGTGTGTACAAAGAATGGCCTTCATTATTTCTCGCCAGTGTTCTCCCTTTTTACGCGCTTCACCGAGCCGTATTTCAAAAGCGCTCCCACCAAAATCACCTGCATTACTGGCGTACTTTACGAACCGATTACGTTTGGTCCCAACACTACCATCAGCCCCCAAAACATTAGACGTTGCTGTTGATTGGCGTCTAGGTTGGTCGAACTCAAACGAAAAGTGCGGCAATGCTCTTCCACCACTTGAACCAAGCGCAGTCTTCGCGAAAAGCGGTGATGCCACCGTGTGCTGTACTTTGGGCTCCACACAAATCTTTGCTGGCATAAAAAGACCCACTGGAAATATACGGTACATCGTCTCTGTCGAGCTAATATTGCCAGCACAAAACATCTCAACGAGGTCAACACACATTTCCTGCAAGTTTGATTCAACTTCATCTTTACTCTCCGCCCCTTTTCCATGCTCAATCGTTCTTTTATTCGCACCTTCTTGCACAGCTGTTTTCAGTGTGTACAACAAAGCGCCATACTCCCGCGCCGATTCCTGCAATCGTTGCACCTGGTCAAGGTCCACAATACAGAATAGTCCTTTCACCAATCGAATCGCAAGCGTCATTAATTCAGGGCCGCCACCATCTCGGCAGTGACACAAGTCAAGCAAAGTTACCCGAGCGTCCATCAACGCCTCCACAGCTTGTGTACACGTCACAGCGTCCGTTATTGCCCGTCTAGGCACGAGCGTCACAATAAAAACCTTCAGCACTCCTTGCAGCACTACTGCAGCCTCGTTTTTCTTTTCCATCTTCTCAACAGTAGCTCCGTACTGCACCAGCAACGAACGTAGCACTTCGTACCCCCCTGCGTCGGCAAAATGTCGTCGATTCGCTGCTTCGCTTCGATCTGCTGTTTTATCACCCATATCAAAGTCCAAACAAGGCGACAACATCAACTCCAGCGTCTCTAGTCCCGACAGAACCGACGTTTGCGACGGCCGTTGTAGACACGCCAAAAAAGGCTTCAACGAGCACTTGGCACAGAGTTTATAGAGCTCTCGCCACCGAATCACACGCCGAAAGCTCTGGAGAATGAGCGGGGTCATGTCCTGCCCATTATGGACTTGCAGCTGCACTGTCTGCTCTTGTAGTAACTCGTGCATGACGTCAAAGAGACGTCGCTGTTTTACGGCGACACGCACGACATTACTAAAACTTGCATCGGGTACTTGGAGCTAAACATCAACGAAATGCACAATCATAACGTGTTGTGGTCAATATTCAAATAGTAAATTACATGTGAAACGAACTGTCATAGTGCATCGCGGTAATTTATTCACTGAGTCGGAAAATAAAAGATACGCCTCCATTTAGGCGTAAGTTGGGTACCTCAAGTGGAAAGAGAGCGCAGAAGGTACGAAGCACCTCCTCAAGCTCCGTGTCACTAACGTTTCGTGGTGCAGCACGCAGCGACAGTACGTTGCGTAGAGCGTGCTGCTGCTGCACGGATCCAGCCTGCCCCATTGGACGGAGAGACCCTCGTAATCGCTAGAATGGTATTTTATCGAGGTAATGGATTACCAAAAGCCGGTGTGTTTATCAAATACGAGAGGTGAGAAAGCAGGCTGCGTTAAATCCGAGCGTGGGTATATATGTTGCAACAGACAGATTCACACAAACAAAAGATAAAAAGGAAGTTGACCTCACATGCCTTTCAGCCATTTATGACTACAGTTGCGAATGGAAAAGTGACTCCTTGTCTCACTTAGCACCACCTTGCATGTCACTCTTCCCGACCAATTCCGTCTGTTCCGCCGTCTCCTCCTCCTGCAAAGCGGAAGCTTCGTCAACTGACTCCATTGTCTTGCTCGACTCACGGGGTTTCACGACAAGTTCCTCATCAGTTCCACTGTCCAAGTAAGCGAGCGAGTCTTGACGACCCAACTTGCCAGCCTCCTGCCCATCATCCGCTGCCTCGGTGTCCTGTTCTGACACCGCATCTTCGCTTTCACTGTCCGCTTTCTTCAAAGTCGCCTCGAAAGAATCCTCGTCATCGTCCGTATCCTCGGGGTCCTTCTCATGATCAATGTCTTCACTTCCGCTCTCTGAACCACTTCCAGACAACTGCATCCCAACGCCGCTGAACATCTTTTGCAGATCAGATGGGTTACTGCCCCCACCGAACAATTCCGCCAGCATCGCACTTATATCGTTACTGCCCGAGTCAGATGCGTCGATGGTCTCCGTTACATCCTGGGAATCGGCACTGCCGGCATCGGATATTGACTGCATCATATCCGCACTGCCCGACTTTAAAGCCTCTTGCTCATCATCTGCTGACTCGGGACCCTCTTCCGACACAGCATCTTCGCTTTCACTGTCCGCTTTCTTCAAAGTCGCCTCGAAAGAATCCTCGTCATCGTCCGTATCTTCGGGGTCCTTCTCATGATCAATGTCTTCACTTCCGCTCTCTGAACCACTTCCAGACAACTGCATCCCCATACTGCTGAACATCTTTTGCAGATCAGATGGGTTACTGCCCCCACCGAACAATTCCGCCAGCATCGCACTTATATCGTTACTGCCCGAGTCAGATGCGTCGATGGTCTCCGTTACATCCTGGGAATCGGCACTGCCGGCATCGGATATTGACTGCATCATCATATCCGCACTGCCCGACTTTAAAGCCTCTTGCTCATCATCTGCTGACTCGGGACCCTCTTCCGACACAGCATCTTCGCTTTCACTGTCCGCTTTCTTCAAACCCGCCTCGAAAGAATCCTCGTCATCGTCCGTATCCTCGGGGTCCTTCTCATGATCAGTGTCTTCACTTCCGCTCTCTGAACCACTTCCAGACAACTGCATCCCAACGCCGCTGAACATCTTTTGCAGATCAGATGGGTTACTGCCCCCACCGAACAATTCCGCCAGCATCGCACTTATATCGTTACTGCCCGAGTCAGATGCGTCGATGGTCTCCGTTACATCCTGGGAATCGGCACTGCCGGCATCGGATATTGACTGCATCATATCCGCACTGCCCGACTTCAAAGCCTCTTGCTCATCACCTGCTGACTCAGAGCCCTCTTCCGACACAGCATCTTCGCTTTCACTGTCCGCTTTCTTCAAAGTCGCCTCGAAAGAATCCTCGTCATCGTCCGTATCTTCGGGGTCCTTCTCATGATCAATGTCTTCACTTCCGCTCTCTGAACCACTTCCAGACAACTGCATCCCCATACTGCTGAACATCTTTTGCAGATCGGATGGGCTACTGCCCGCATTCAGCAATTCCGTCAGCATCGCACCTATATCGATGCTGCCCGAGCCAGACTCCATCGGAATCGAAGTATCTGTTAGAGCCTGGGCGCTACCACTACCGGTCGCCATTGCATCGGCAATCGACTGCATCATTTCCGAGCCAGGCTCCACCTCACCATACTCGCTGCCCTCACCTCCATTCAGAATGCCCTCAATGTAGTCCATCACGTAGGTGAGACGGGTAAAGACACCCGCCTGTTCTCCGCACTTGCTTCCCCAGCTCACAAACCCAATAAGGGTATCGCCATTCACGATCAAGGGACCGCCCGAGTCGCCATTGCACGTGTCCCTGCCATCACCAACCCCAGCGCACAGCATGCCCTCCGTGATCCGACCGACGTACCGTTTGAACTTGTTACACTCGGCGTTCGTGATGATGGGAAGCGTAATTTCTTCCAAATACGAATTCATGGTGGCATTGTTATCAGGCGTCTTGCCCCATCCTAAAGCCGTAGCCATCGTACCAACCGGGTTGTCCGATCCGTCACCGGCGCAAAGCTTTGCTGTCGGGCGCTTGACTGGCTTCTCCAGCTTGAGCAAGCCAACGTCATAGAGATGGGCCGTCTTATTGTACAAAGGGTGACGGAAGCCAGCAACAATTTTGTAGTCCACGCCCTCCTGTTCCCCGACCTTGGCTTCCCCAACTGAGCTCAGGTTTGACTCAAAGGTGGCGATCGTGGGCAAAATCCCGATAGTGATGCAGTGTCCAGCCGTGAGAATGAACTGCGGCGTAATGAGCGTGCCAGCGCAAAAGGTAGAGCCACTGAGACTATCACTGAGGCTGGCAATGAACGGATACTTGCTGACATCAGCTGCTTCGCCCCCGTAGATGCTGCTCTTTTGGTTTTCCGTCAAGCTCTTGGTCATCCCGCTCTCGGCCTTGATAGCCTTGTTGCTTTCGGAAAACGTGTATCCATACGTGAGACTCGACAAGGAGGCGATTGTGGTGACGAACGCGCCCACTTGAGCGACTCGCATCCTTCCAGCAAACACAAGAATAAAGTCACTACTGGTCAGTGGTGAGGTGCTGACGTCTGGCTTGATAAAAAACGCAAAGTGAGACTTCCTGTCCAGACGTCGAGTTCGAAAGTGCTATCGAGCCGGAACGCCTGGTATGATTAGGTTTGACGGACAGAGACGGGGATGAAAAGCATCAGATGGGACAAGAACAGTCGTCTTTTGGAAGCTGCGGCATGAGACCACGAAGCCGATCAGAGCCCATCAATTGCTGGTAAAACAGCAGGTCTCGTCGTATTGCAGGAGAGGTACATAGAAAGAGATACAGTGGAAAAGTCAAGCGTAGCACGACGTCGTGTGTACCCCGCTCCTTTACCGTTTCCTGTCGTCACGGACGAATCGTCGATCGGCATGACTTCTTTTTTGTATTCAGAGAACTCGGGGTGTGGACATGCATGATCCGATGGGCTGTAGCATTGTTGGACTGATCGGACGAGCTCGTGGAAAGTACCGATCAGTACGTACGAGAATGTTCTGGACAGCGTGCAAAAACAAATGTCGGATCAGACATGATGTACTTGAAGGTGTTCGTTTAGCCCAGCTTTGTCGTGTCGGTTGAAGAAGAAGAAGTTGGGCTGGATGCAGACAGTTTCTCTAGACGGGAACCTGATCGAAGTAAAGGAGTGCGGGGCTTTTACTTGTCGCTTGATTGCGCCGGGGCATGTATAAAAGGCCGGTTTTGGCACTTTTTCGGCCAGGGGTTGTGGGTGGCTGTATTGACGTAGCTTTGGGACGTTATTCGGTCAGTCATCATAACGAATGTGTGTATCACGTAACATACGATAGTAAAAAGGAGAGTTATGTCCTTTGGACGTTGTTCTAAGAGATGTGGCGATTCGTGTTTGCTTTATTTGGCAAGGGTAATTACAAAATAGGGTAAGAGGAAGCAGTATTACGCCGCCGTTCTAGAGATAACTATGTGATCTTTTGCTGTAATTCACATTATAAGTAGGGCCGTTTATTTAGCACATCGTTGTAGTTCATCGGTCGCCGCACAAATGCTAGGGAAGGTACTCGTGAAGCTCGCAAGGTCTATCTTTTTCGATAATTGTAGCTGAGATTATGTGTTACTCACCGTCTGCTTGATTGGTATTCGCACCGAGTCAAATAGCGTGGATAACAAGCACAGCAAGCAAATCGTTTGTACTTGGAGGATTACATGTGTCGCCCTGCGTGCATGGCCTGTGAATGCATTGATGCAAAAAGCTTGTGTTGCCACAATCACCGCAAATGTGCTGTCTATCGACAGTCGGGAAAAAAGAGGTACGACTTGCTATGCGAGCACGATCACTTTTCGCGCAATGATACGTTGTTTACGAGGACCGAAGGAACGAGCATCGCTCTTATCGATAAAGACGACGGTTCGTCGGCTCGTAATTTGTGGACAAGCATTACTGCTACAGGGTCGTCTTCGTGGATTTTCGGGGAGGAAAAAGACTTTGCTGGTGCACATCTATGTTTCGACATCGGTGTGTCAAGGCTTGGACGCTCCACGAAATACTGACAGAGGGCGTGCGCCTCTACGATTGATTACTGATTCGATGACACAAATTGCTCGATCGCTCTCGCACAAGAGTTATTTTATGGGGCTATTCTCGGCTGTAGTTAGTACCCACTGGACAAGTGCTCGCCAACGTTGAAGTGCCGTTGCTGAGATTGACCGCAAAAGCCGAGAGAGACAGCTCGTTGACGCTTGTAAATCTTCCAGGGGGAGGCGTAAAAAGCTGACCAGTCGACGAGCTTACATAACAGCTAGCATTTTTCTTCCGGCAAAATGTCCATTTGCTTCTTTAGCGTTGGTCGCATAAATTTACCACGAGGTTCTACCAGAGGCATCGTCTATCAGAGCGTCTGCACCTTTCGACTAGCACCACCCATGAAAGCAAGGCGATACCTGCTCATACGAAGCATAGCGCCAGCCTTCCGACGATTTGCTTACAGATTCAACGACAATGTCCTGCTGAATCGCTTAGTCGGCAGCAGCAGATCTTCTGATATTGCCTCCTTCTGTATACACTGGAAGTATGTTCAAGCTCTAGTATCGGCAACCGCTTAAGAGGACACGCTTTGCGGAAAGCGAGGAGTGATTTATACAAAGCCGTTCTTGCAGTTTTACCTACGCTTACGCCGAGTTGGTTGACGTATGTAATGCTCGTATCATGTCAGCACGTCCTTTTCTACTTCAGGCACATCGCACCAAGCACGAACGGACGCAGGATACTGCTTATATGTCAAGTCTGCGGATACGATGGCGACACCGCTGTGTCGAATGTTGTCAAGTATATAAGGTCGAATAGGATATACCTTAGTTGTTCTGTAACACAGATGGTTGGTGCGTGTTCCCGCTCGCTAAAAAAAGTCAAATCGAGAGTCTGCACGTAGATCACCTCGAAGTTGCATATGTATTGCCTACCACATTATGTGTCGTTGCAACGTGACAATCGTTACAGCAACATCGTGATGTTACACGCTCTAGTGCATCAGACGAAAGAGACATTATTATAGCTAACTTGTCCAAGATGGACAAGCAAACAACACGCAACCACTACGAGTAGGAGGGCGCTTGCATCTACACTCAGAAACGAAGCAGACCCAAGGCAAACTTGTCGTTCCCGTACATGAGCAGGTTGCATTTAAACTGCGGGATACACTCATTGCTGTGATTGTTATCGATATCGACTTGACAATGTAAAAGTCCAGCTGCGTCTGCGTTTTGCCTAAACTACTACTTCTTTTAGCTCGTAAACACTCCGACATACCAGGACTTGAAGTGTCGAAGTGTATCCGCCTTCGATTTGCGCCCACTTGCCGATGTGCGCACTCGCAGTGCACACATTGCAAGCGACCCAGGTCCCAGTCGCACGAACTCGACGAGTTCGTGATCGTCGGGACCCGCTAAGACACAATACCGTTCGCGAGCCACGGTAGCAGCAGGTAACCTCTTGCTGTTAGGGTAGACAGTGCTGCGAAATGATTACATGTCTCACGTAATGGAGTGGGCCTGTTGCATGTAATTAACCCTTGATGCTTGCGAGTTAGAATATTATCACAAAATTTGATAATGTTCGTGGAGATTATCACAAGGGGTAATATTCAGACACACTCACCGATTGATTCGTATGGGTAATCACATCATCCAGCTCTAGCGGTCCAATCAACGATTTATTACCACCAGTACGCGCGTACTGAGTGCGAGCAATACTTTTAGCATACCTTTTTTGTAGCTAAATATAATTAAGTTAGGAATAAAGCATAGAGCAATGATTAGGACCTGATTGCATTTAAACAGTTTACTTTTACCAGCAACTAGTCAATTCCTATTTGCATTCCCTTCCTCTGCCAAGTTACAGAGGGAGCTAACACCGCTCACGATGCTGTTGGTGATAATAGCTCTACACTGGCTGTCCAGTGTGTTGCTCTGGTGCCTTGTTACATCTGGTAGCCCTTTTTAGTCCGTCCAAAGGCCTCAAAACCCGTCTAACACGAACATGTTGGACGATGAAAGCGACGACACCTTTCATGGTACCCGTGGAAGTCACTTCTATTTGAGTGATGTCGAACGGAGTGAGGTCGAATGAATGAGTTAGCCCGTTGAAGAATAAGCTGTCTGGTCTCTGCTGCCAACAAGGGATAGGGACCAGTAGCATTTCGTAATCGACAAGTTCTTGCAACGGGAACTTGATGCGTCGCGATCTGAAGTGACTTTGCTGCAGCACCAAGGTCACCAGCAGACTGATATCCTGAGACAGCAACAGTCTCAGTATGTTTCTGTAGCGTAAACACGTGAGCGTCGACGCGAGATTCTTGAGTTTGAGGTCTCCAAGTACCTAGGAGTTGGGGAAGACTTCCTGTTGAGATGGTTCTTCGAAGTGGACGATGCCATCAGGGCTCACCACATCGACGATGAGGAAATGCAAGTTGCATTTGTCAAATTCAATTTGCCAGGACGTTCCTCATGCAATTGCAACTCCGGAGCAAGAGGACTTTGATGTGAGACAAGATCACACTAGCTTGACCGCTATCTGCCTTCAGGACGAGTAGAGGCGGGAGGACTAGAACCAATGTGCCTATGAAGTGTTAAGCGCGAGATACCTCGCTCTTCAAACTGTGGGCAATTGAAAAAGTGCAATCTCTGTCAGAAGTTAGAGCGCTGCGCCTACTAGTGTAGTGCTTCGCGCCCAGCGTCTCGAAACACTGAGCGAGGTGATCGACCTTCTGCAATAAGAGCAGTGGGCACGAGTTCGATGCTGTTGCGAAGTCACAACAGCGTGGCAGGCCATCACAAACGGTCGGGGTCAGCAGGGGCGGATCACCCTGCTAATCCAGCAACCGCAATAGAATTTGCAAAACTATTGATGAAAGTTGCTCCAGACTCACAATCCGTGTGTCTCTGCAATTAATGATGAGGTACCCCTCATCACCTTGAATTCGAGAGTGACAAAATATTTATCACTTTGTGCCTTAGTTGACTGTGGGAGTCGAACAATTTTGCTCGTCGCCAGACGCCAGAGGATCGTAGGCTCAAGTTCGTTGGGCTCGATATTCCTCCTACGAGGATGGCGGTGAGCATCGCAACGCGCTTTGATAGCGTTTTTCAGTGGCGAAACGTGTAGTAAGATTTCACTACATGTTAGAAGATTTGCAGTACGATTATGATTTCATCGTACTTAATTTTGATGGCAAATTTGATGTCATCCTAGGGTTACCTTAGCTCAGAAGGTACGAACCATGGGTCATCTGGCAGCACCGAACCGTGAAGATGCCTGCCACTTGTTCATCCGATGGCCACCTGATGAACGTCTTGGAGCGTCCACAAACGTATGGGTGTACTGAGAAAGATTGCAATGTCCTCACTTGCGGTACGGTCATTACTACGACTGCACAAGATCACAATGTGATAACCAATCAAACTGTGGAAGAAGCTGCCGGCGTCTGTGCAGATTCACAGAGAGCGCCGAAGG